TGTGTGACTCCCCACACACTGAGAAGAAAATATGCTGCACTGATAATTGGTCTCAGTAGGAATCAAGAAGCATTCTGTTGTGTGTGCTGTCCAGAGTCGTTTCATCTTTCACCTCTCAAGTAAATTGTACCCTGAAACGCATTATGTCCTTTCAGAAATAATTACAGAGAGTGGTATTAAGTGGGAAGGAGAAAGCATACCATAAGTTTATAGATCCCTTTTTCTTTCACTGCGTTTTATTGTATATGACAAAATGCAGAGGATTAAATGGTTGTGTTTCATACTCTTTTCCTCCAAGTGAAACAGACACACACTGCTTGCCAGCCTACTGCCTGGATATGACCTCAGGAGCATGTGTGGTTACCTTGTTGCACAGGTATTCAAAGTGTGGGTGGTTTGCCTCTTCTGCTGCCCTCCTTGAATAGACTGAATTCCTTAGGGCCATTGTGATGTAGTGGAAAAAGCAGTGCAGAGTCAGAATTTAAATTTCATTTCTGCCACTTAGGAGCATTGTAATATCACCTGACCTCAAAGGAATTCAAATATATGCCTAGTACTGAGTAAACACCAGCTGAATTTGAATTTGTGATTCATTAAACAAATTTGTAATGCATGCCTGCTGTGTGTTAAGCTCTGTGTTGTCTAGAAATACACAGTTCTTACCTAGAAATGATTGTCACCAGCTCTTTCTATTCCTTTTCAACAGTAGTTTGCATGTTTCTGGTAAATATCCAAACTCTGCTTTTAGCATCAGCTCTTAAAGATAAAGGTAATGTTTAAGTGTTTCCTTTTGCCACAGTCTGTTAGGAGAGACATCCAGCATGGGGAGGTGAAGGCTGTTGGTTTTATCTTGATGTCAGCTTTCTCAGCAGTGGCAAGCAGCCAGTCACCATGCCAAACCAGAGTCCTTATAACAGCATCTGTTGGGGAAAAAATACATCGTGGTTTCACTAGAATAACTGAATTGCTGAATCCATTCTTTCAGGTTGGCTCTGCAGAATGAATTTATGAGTAGTAGAGGTGCATATATGCTTTGGTTTGTTCAGTGTATGATAACATTTATCACTGACTCTGGCATAATGCTTAAGTGCTTAGGACAAGGGCCGTTATTTTAAGCTGTACTCTGATGGGGAGCAGGAATACAGTCACTTCCTGCAGGTTCTGGTGAGGAGGTCGAGGTGAAGGTGGCCATAGCAGCGGCACCGCCAGAAGTTCCCTGTGGAGTCCTCACCTTTACAGGGCATTTAATGCTGTTTTTATTGAAGCTGAGGCAGAAGCGTCTTCCAGAATTTTGGCCTCCCATGTAAAACTTTCTAAAAGATGCCGAGTTACAGAAGTGGAATGTTAGGCAAAAGTTAAATGAACACGTGTTAAGCGTGCAGACGCAGTGCGAGATAGCCAGTTTGAGGTGCTTTCTGGACTCTGCGTGTTTCAAATGTTGGGCGATGCTCGCACATTGCCAGTGCAAGTCAGGCCCTCAGTAAACACACTCAGTATCATTGCTCTATGTAGAGTTCTTTATTATTATTATTATTATTATATTATTATTATTTGAGAGAGGGCCTCGCTGTGTCACCCAGGCTGAAGTGCAGTGGCCCCATCACAGCTCATTGCAGCCTCAACCTCCTGGGCTCAAACAGTTCTCCCATGTCAGTCTCCTGAGTAGCTGGGACCACAGGAGGCATGTGCCACAACTGCCCAGCTAAATTTTGTATTTTTCGTAGAGACAGGGTTTCACCATGTTGCCCAGGCTGATCTCGAACTCCTGGGCTTAAGTGATCCTCCTACCTCAGCCTTCCAGAGTGCTGGGATTACAGGCATGAGCCCTCATACCTGGCCTCTTTTTTTTTTTTTTTTTTTTTTTTGAGATGGAGTCTCACTCTGTCACCCAGGCTGAAGTGCAATGGTGCGATCTCAGCTCACTGCAACCTCCTCCTCCTTGGTTCAAGCGATTCTCCTGCCTCAGCCTCCTGAGTAGCTGGGATTACAGGCACCTGCCACCATGCTTGGCTAATTTTTGTATTTTTAATAGAGACAGTGTTTCACCATGTTAGTCAGGCTGGACTTAAACTCCTGACCTCAGATGATCCCAAAGTGCTGGGATTACAGTCATGAGCCACTGTCCCTGGTCCCGGCCTCTTTTAGAGTTTGGTAAGTTCCGACTGAGAGGCACAGCAGGAAAAGGATGTTTCTGCGAATTGCCACAAAGACGTCTCTAGATGCCTGAAGGGATTAATGTCACTTCCTGAAAGGCCAAATATCTCTCAACAAATTAATCTTCATTGAGCACCTACTTTATGCTCAGCAATCTTTTAAATTTGAAGAGGAAGTATATAATATTGTCATGGTCCTCAAAGAACTTAGGATAATAATGAATAACACTAAGCACATATTAAATGCTATACACTCTGCTACTGGCCTTCTATACATGTTGTTTCACTTAACCCTTACAACCACCTGAAGCGTGTATTACCGTGTCCATTTTACAGACAAAGAAACTGAGGTTCAGAGAAGTGTAGTAACTTGGTAAGTGGCGGGGCAAGGATTTTACTCAAAATGCCTGACTCTGAAGCCCGTAGTCTACTTCCCTGAGGTGCAGTTGGAGAGGCAAGATGGACTCACGTGAAAATGCATACTCATCACCAAAACAGATGGTGTTTGGCAATGGATGCAAAGCTGTAGGGATGATGTGTGAGGTATCTGGATCAAGAGTCTAAAGATCTTGGTGGATAGGAAAAACAGATAAAAGTAGTGAAAGGAAATTTACTGGAGATAAGTGCAAAATCCCCTATTTAAGGAAAAATCAGCTCTTGAAGTCCTGAGGAGGGGAAAAATGGTTTAATAACACTCTATGAGGGGAAAAGAAGACAGGGATTTTAGTTATCTGCAAGTTCAAGATGGGTCTGCAGGAGAACACTGTGGCCAACGTAAACACGAATGCACCCTGATGTTGTGTTAATAAAAGTATGGAATCCACCGAGAAATAAATGAAGACGACAAGATGATCAGGGAGCTGGGAGTTTGGTCATGTGAGAAATGGCTGAAGGAATTAGGGTATTTTGGCCTTCAAATATTTGATTCTTGTGGCAGAAGGGTTACACTGATTCTACTTACCTCCAGAGGAGAGTCCTGGGCCCCAACCAAAGTGCGGAAGATCTGGGCTTCACAGAAGTTGTTGTAGAACTATTCCAGAATGATTCAGGCTGCCTGGCAAGGGCATGAAGTGTGGAAGCAGATGCTGAGTGCTGTTGTGGAGTGGGATTCTCCGGTTCCAAGGGCTGCAGGAGTTGAGAGCAGAGGAGACTCAGGGAGGGCTGGATGCGTCAGAGGCGGCTCACTGGGAAACTGGAATGTGCTAGGATTTAGAAGGTTGATGAGGAAACAGCATTCTAGGTGAGGAAAACAACATATGAGAAGATAAAGGGAGTGGTTTTTTGTTTTTTGTTTTTTTTTTTAGCCAGAGTCTTGCTTGGATGCCCAGCCAGGCTGGAGTGCAGTGGCAAGATCTTGGCTCACTGCAACCTCTGCCTCCCGGATTCAAGTGATTCTCCTGCCTCAGCCTCCCTAGCAACTTGGATTACAGGCATGCATCACCATGCCCAACTAATTTTTGTATTTTTAGTAGAGATAGGGTTTCTCCATGTTAGTCAGGCTGGTCTTGAACGCCCAACCTCAGGTGATCTGCCTGCCGCAGCCTCCCAAAGTGCTGGGATTATAGGCGTGAGCCACTGGGTCTGGCCCCAGGAGTGGCATTTTTTAAAACTTGATTTATTGAACAGGACATTGCTTGAGTATGACCTTGTGCTAGTTGGGCAGGAGGAACAAGATTGAATAAAGGGAATCTAGGCCAATGTATGATCCCATAACACTTAGATTGGAGGCAGGAGAACTTTTTAAGGTACCATTTTTATTTTCTGACAGGATATTTGATAGGATAACATTAACTTAATACATGACCCAAACTGTGTCTTATTTGCAGGAGACTGACTTTAGCATGATGAAACAAACAGGTATCTCATCTCTTTCTTTCTTTTTTTTTTTTTTGGAAACATAGTCTTGCTTTGTTGCCCAGGCTGGAGTACAGTGGCACGATCTCGGCTCACTGCAGCCTCCACCTCCTGGGTTCAACTGATTCTTCTGCCTCAGTCTCCCAAGTACCTGGGATTACAGGCATGCACCACCATGCCCGGCTAATTTTTATATTTTTAGAAGAGATGCGATTTCACCATGTTGGTCAGGCTGGCCTCGAACTACTGACCTCGTGATCTGCCTGCCTCAGCCTCCCAAATGCTGGGATTATAGGCATGAGCCACCACATCTGGTCTCTTTCATTTTTACTTAAAAACTTCAGCCTGTTTGAGCTGTTTAAAAGGAGAGCTGTCAGCTATTGAACTTTGTCAATCATGTGTTGTTTGACATGTTAATTTTAAAAGAGAATTGGTTGAGGATAGGTCAACTCATTCCCCCTGCTACTGTGGTGTGTCTACTCTGGAAAGGCAAGAGGGACCCCCACCCCAGGTTTAGTTCAGAGGTGGAAGCTGACGATCTCTCATGTGCACACATTGAAATGGTCTGTTGCTTACCTTTTTGAAGTCTCTGGGAGACAGGGCAGGCTTCTTGAACAGTGTGAGTGAGCAAGAAAGAAACCAGGTTTTGTTGAGTTGAAAGGGGTGGGGTCAGGATGCAGGTGGTCAGGGCCTTGCCAGTTTTGGATCTCCCACTGCTGCCAAATGAAGGAGCACCAGAGCCGTCTTAGTAGGCTGCCCAGGTGTGGGACAGAAGGGGCAGAGGAAGGGTGGAGGCTTGAAAGCTGTGAGCAGTCAGACATCAAAAATGAAGCCAGCTCCTCCTCACAGCCTGTAGATGGAAGTCATTTTTCCAAGGTCTGGTATGAAGACTAGATTCTGACCAGCCCTTGTGCCCTGTTTGTGCCAGCCGGCACCAGTGAACTCAAATAGGTGTCCGAGTCTGCTTACTCTGTGCCTTCATCTTTTGCCCAGGCCTCATTGCCAGTGCATAACCAGGTGCTGCCTTCAATCGAGAGTGTGGATGGGTCCGATCCTTTGGCAACTCTGCAGACCCCTCTAGATAGACTGGAGGCGAAAGAGGAAGAGGATGAGGATGAGGATGAGGACACTGAGGAAGAAGAGGAAGAAGACGGTGAGGACACAGATCTGGATGACTGGGAGCCAGACCCGCCCCGGCCCTTCGACCCGCACGACTTATGTAAGTATGGGCACTCGACTCCCCCAGGGAGGCTGTGTCCATCTTGTGCGTGTGTGTGAACATAGCTCCCGTAAACCAGGTCTTTCTCTGTGCAGCCACTGGGCTACATTCTCTGCAGGCATCATTTTACCTGGCCTTTACTGCAGCCCTTTGAGGAACACTGTCATTTGTGTTCCAATTTTACTGATGAGTAAACTGAAGCTCAGAAGATTGGGCAGCTCGCTTGGGGTCACATAGGGACGAATGAGGCCCAGGCAGCCGAGCCCAGGTCTCTTACACCAGAGCTTCAGCCACCAAACCACCATGGTAGATTTGCCCAGTCCTGCTCTCTTCAGCCACATCAGCGTTAAGAAGTTTGCCTTGCTGCTTTGCCTTTGCCATGATAGCCTCTTAAGAATGTTGTTCTATCCCGGGTGGATAGCTTTCCCAGGGCCGTGCCAATAATTTGAGGGTCAGGACTCCAGCTCAGGCAGTCTGGCCCCTCAGCAGCACCCTTCATCAGCTACCCCATCCTACTGCCTGCTGGGGGTTCAGATTCCACCACCAAATCATTGTTTCTTTTGATTTTCTTGTTCTTATGGCAAAGTGCTTACTCATTAATTGCATTACTGAGGCCCTTCAGAGCTTTGTGGTTTCATCCGTCCTTCTGTATGGTGGTGGTAAAATGTGTCTGCTTTGGCTCAGTGTTCAAGCTTCACATCTAATCCCAATCTAAGAGAGAACTTGCTTGTTTTGGTTTTCCTTGAATTCATACATTTTCTTTCCTTTTTTTTTTTCTTTTGAGACAAGTTCTTACTCTGTCTCCCAGGCTGCAGTGCAGTGGCCCAAGCTCAGCTCATTGCAGCCCTTTACCTCCCAGGTTCAATCAGTTCTCAGGCCTTAGCCCGCAGAGTAGACTAGTTGGGACTACAGGTGTATACCACCACGCCCAGCTAATTTTTTTTTTTTTTTTTTTTTTGTATTTTTAGTAGAGACGGGGTTCACCATGTTGGCCAGACTGATCTCGAACTCCAGACCTCAAGTGATCCACCTGCTTCAGCCTCTCAAAGTGCTGGGAGTACAGGCTGAGCCACTTTGCCCGGCCAAATTAATACATTTTCAAGGCAACTCCTAAGAAATGCACAGAAAATCACTTTATTTAAAAAATAATACAACACAGCTCTGTTATTTGAGAACGGTAGAAATTAAAAATACCTTTTTCCTAAACCAGGTCACCACGTAGCCAGAGTAGGGTAAAGCACGTTAAGCGTGTTAAGGGTCGCGGGCGTGGGCTCTTTGTGGTTCATTTGCTCCTCTCCGTTTTGGGGCTGTACCTGCCTCATTCTGGCAGTTTACTTACAGATGGGTGCTCCTGGCAAAGAGGCCGTGTGTGTGGCCGGACTGGTGCAAACTGAGTGCTCTTGGAATGATCTGAAAATGTCCATCCTGTCAGGGCTGAGCTAGTCCTGTCATCCCAGTGAATGAAGGAAGGGGATTTGTTCCTTTTAACGTTATCTAACCAGTATGCGCTGAACTTTCAGACTGCGCAACCCTTATTCTGTTTGACTTAGACAGGCTGAGATAAGACTTCTGCAACTTCCTTTGAGAAAATTGATTCAACAGTATTGTCAGGGTTCCTCCCTGGCCCCTGAATAGTTTTATTGAGATAATCTGCATACTATAAAATTCACCCATTTTGTCTCCTCTGATAGTGCAACATTTAGCCTGATAAGCTCTTTTTACACTTCAGACATGTCATAATTGATTTGTAAATTTAGTGGTCACTATTCAAAGTACTCTCCGGCAGAGGAGTAAGTCATGGCCTGCAGATTGCTTTTGGCAGGCATAAGCAAATTCTGTCTGATTTTAGAGGAGAATTACGGGATTTTTGCTGGTCTACCAGAGAGAATGTATTACCATTGAGTGGGTAGTGCCATTAGGAGTTAATTGAATTTTGGCTTGAAAACATAGACTTGGGGATTTTTCAGGTCAGAATTTTTTGCCTCACGTCAGGTCATACTGAGGAATAGGACTTTTCTTCAAGACTCTCTCTCTTTTGCAGGGTGTGAGGAGTGCAATAACGCGCATTCTTCGGTGTGCCCGAAGCACGGCCCCTTGCACCCGATCCCCAACCGGCCGGTGCTCACCCGTGCAAGGGCGAGCCTCCCCCTGGTGCTCTACATAGACAGGTTTCTGGGCGGGGTGTTCTCCAAGCGGCGCATCCCCAAGCGCACACAGTTTGGGCCCGTGGAGGGGCCTCTCGTCAGGGGCTCGGAGCTGAAAGACTGTTACATTCACCTCAAGGTAACTGATGCTTTATCACACTTCACTCCTGTTCTTCAGCAGTGTTTCGGGGAGCACTGTATTGTCTACTGGATCCCTTGTTTCTGTTTCTTGGCAGCTGTTTGCTAGTATTCTTTTTATCTTAACTTGGTTAAATGGAAATTCACCAAGAAGATGGAGATTGCAATTTTATTCTCTGAAAGTGTTATATGAATTATTTGGAGAAGGGTAGTTCTTAGGGGCTACGGTAGTTTTCTAGGGCTGCCATAGTAAAATACCACAGGCCAGGAGGCTGAAACAATAGACATTTGTTTTCTCACTGTTCTGGAAGCTGGACGTTTGAGATCATGGCGTTGGCAGGGTTGATTTTTTCTGAGGTCTCTCTCCTTGGCTTGAAGAAAGCCACCTTCTCACTGTGTCCTCACAGGGTCTTTCCGCAGTGCTTGTGTGTGTCCATGTCCTAATCTCCCCTTCTTATTTATTTACTTATTTATAATTTTTACATTTTGATTTTTTTTTGAGATGGAGTCTTGCTCTGTCACCAGGCTGGAGTGCAGTGGGACTCTCTTGGTTCACTGCAACCTCTGCCTTCTGGGTTCAAGCAGTTCTCCTGCCTCAGCTTCCCGAGTAGCTGGGACTACAGGCACATGCCACCATACCCAGCTAATTTTTGTATTGTTAGTAGAGATGGGATTTTACCATGTTGGCTAGGATGGTCTCTATCTCTTGACCTCGTGATCCACCCGCCTCGGCCTCCCAAAGTACTAGGATTACAGGCAAGAACCACTGCGCCCGGCTAATTTTTCTATTTTTTATGGAGACAGGGTCTTGCTATGTTGCCCAGGTTGGTCTTAAACTCCTGAGCTCAAGTGATTCTCCTGCCTTGACCTCTCAAAAGTGCTAGGATTACAGGCGTGAGCCCCCTCGCCTGGCCCATCTTCCCTTCTTATAAGGACCAGTCCTGTTGGATTAGGGCCCGCTCTAATGACCTCATTTTAAATTAATTACCCCTTTAAAAGTCCTGTCTCCAAATGCAGTCACAGTCTGAGGTACTGGGTGTTAGGGCTTCACCATGGATTTTGAGGAAGACACAGTTTAGCCCATAACAGGAGCTTGTTTTCTTTATTTAAAAAAATTTTGATTGAAATGCAAAGAGAATTATGTAGGCTTAATGTAATCTGCTATGTGCTAGTAATGTTTGCGAGAAAACCACTTTCGAGTTTTGAAACAAGTCTGACCTATAGACTCTGGTTAAAGAATAGCTTCCTGTGTGGTGAAGTATGTTTATATTCATCTGTTTACAACTGACCCTTTTGCTTCTGTCCAGCCCTCTCTGCTGTCCGCTTTTTAGATAACGGCTCCAGAGAACTAGGAAAGGGCAGTGGAAAGGGGTGAATATTTGGGATGTGTTTTTTGACAAATCAGCTGCTGTCATGGGGAGGTTTTCTTTGAGTTCTCAAAATCTCCATGTAAGAATATTACTTTGTAAAGAGAAATTCCTATCCCTGGGCTGCTTATTATAAATGAATGCAATGAAACCCCAATAGGAGGCAAATTGTAATGAACTAGAGAGTATTTTGCTTGCATTTTCTGCACACTTGTAGGATGTTTTGTCATGTTCGTTTTGTGAAATATTAACTAAAGCTACGCAATTAGATTAACTGTTACGTTTTGCCAGGTAATTTTCTTACAGGTGAGGCTTCAGAAAATATCTTTTCCCTTTGGCATTTGGCAACTTATAAGTTATAGGTCCAGGATTTTTCCAGATACAAAGAGAAGAGCCAGGATATATGGTTAATTTTAGGAGCAATACTTTGTGTATTGTGACATTACAAAATGCGTCTCATATTGAAGGTTTTGTTTTGTTTTGTTTTGTTTTTGGTGTGGCTTTTTGCTTTTTTTCTGCAGGTTTCTCTTGATAAAGGGGACAGAAAAGACAGGGATTTGCATGAAGACCTGTGGTTCGAGTTGTCTGATGAGACGCTTTGTAACTGGATGATGTTTGTACGGCCAGCCCAGAATCACCTGGAGCAGAACCTTGTGGCTTACCAGTATGGCCACCATGTGTATTATACAACCATAAAAAATGTGGAGCCCAAGCAGGAACTGAAGGTACAGTGCTGCCAGACCCTGCTGCTATTTGCTAGCAAGAGTGATTTTTAGAGCTTTTTGCAATTTTATTTCTTTAAAGTGGGATTGCTAAAAAAAAAAAAAGAAAGTCATTTTCTGGTTATTCACATACTTTTTGAGTAGCTACCATGTAGTGTACACATGGTATACTACATAATCCTGTAAATAGAATGGTAAGTATATGGCTTTTATGCTTATCAAAGGGCCTATGTAAGGCTGTGCATGGTGGCTCGTGCCTGTAATCTCAGCACCTTGGGAGTCCCAGGCGGGTGGATCACTTCAGGTCCAGAGTTCAAGACCAGCCTGCTCAACATGACGAAACCCCATCTCTACTAAAAATACAAAAATTAGCTGGGTGTGGCAGGTGCCTGCAATCCCAATTACTCATGAGGCTGAGGCAGGAGAACCGCTTGAACCAGGAGATTGTGTAGAGCCAAACTCCATCTCAAAAAAAAAAAAAAAAAAAAGCCTACCTGAAAGCACTAGGTCCACGGGGTAAGGAGGTAGTTGTTTTGGGGAGCAGACCGGTCTAGATGCTTCTCTACTTGTGATGGAGTTGTATCCCAATAAGCTTCATTGCAAACTGAAAATATTGTAAACTGAAAGTGTATGTACTACACTCAACCACTACATCGTAGCTCAGCCTCGCCTGCCTTAAATGTGATGAGAACACTTGCATTAGCCTACAGTTGGGCAGAATTAACACAGTGCCTATTTTATAATAAAGTGTTGACTATCCCATATAATTTATTGAATACTGTACTGAAAGTGAAAAGCAGAACGATTGTATGGGCACGCAGAAGATTTCTACTGAAGGTGTCCACTTTCGCGCTATCGTTACATCAAAAAATTGTAGTCACACCATTGACAGGAACATATCTGTTTCTGTGGTGGAGTGATTAAAGATGTTGGTTAACTTCATTTACACACTGCATAGTTGGGAAAATGATTTTTAGATGTATGGGCAAGATGTTTAGCTGTATGAGCAATAATTTTTTCTTTATATGAATATTTTACTCAAAGAATTATATGTGCATTTCAGAAATATATTTTTGGGTGATAACTATCGAAATTTATCTAAATAGTAATTCTCGATGACAATAAAATTTTGCTATGATTCTAAATGAAAATTCCTTTTTAAAAATAAAGCTTTTATTAAGAACATGCCAAAAGAGGGGATCAGAATACTCTTTAGCTTCCTGATATAAATGAAAAATAGGCAAGAAATGATCATATAAGTAAGTACATGAACATTGAATTGCACAGTGCCTCCATATGGTACAAATTCGAAATGGATACCTCTCTTGAGGGAGAAAGAATCCTGGATTTTTTTCAAAATCCTGGATTTTGTGCAAAACCTCTGTTTTTGAAACCATCAGCTAGAGAATCCATAAACCCTGAAGAAAATATGCAAAAGGAGATTCGTATCTCATACCATGTATTTCAATAAATTCCTGATTAGAAAAAAAAACTGAGGGGAATTTTTTTAACTGTGAAGGGGAGATTTTTTTCTTTTAAACCAGTACATGGGACTATGAAGATGGACAGAAACAAATATGAATATAATAGTTCAGTGTAATGAACAACCATAAAACAAAAAGGAAAGAACAGAATGGAGGAAATATTTGTAATACACATGAAAAGGTTCAACTATGAACATTGACAGACGTCACTGCACCCAGGTGGACAAATGAAAAAATGTCAGGAATTGACTTTATCTGGAGGAGGAAACAAATAGTAAGAAAATGTTTAAAAACAGAAAAAAGAGCGAATGCATTCTGGGCTCAATACCTAGATGATGGGTCCAGCAAATCACCGTGGCACATGTTTACCTATGTAACCTGCACATCCTGCATGTGTACCCTGGAACTTAAGCAACTTAAAATTTTCAACATTAACCATTTAAAAAACCCTCAAAATAACTATGAGCTACTATTTACATTAAGTTAGCAAAAATAAATGGGTACAGTACAATGAATGAATGTTTTTTAGAAATAGGAATGTTAATTGTAGAATTGCATTATTTCGTAAAATATTTCTGGAAGTATGTAGCAAAAATGTTCTTGGCTGAGTAAATCTAATCCTTGAAAGTTAAGCAGAGGAAATAGTTACAAAAAGAAGACAGAACTAGTCTATACTGTATTTTACTAACTCTAAGATACCAATGACTTTAGAATGCACTATTATTTTATGTTCCATTAAGAAAAAAATGCTACCTATTAAATCATAGTACTTTTTAAAAATAAAAAATGGTTAGAAGGAGCTATTTTAGACTTATTTTGACTTATTTTTAAAATTACATCGTACTTGTGCATTCATGAAAAGGCACGCTGAAGCAAAATAAATTGGTTGCGGTATAAACCGCTTTGCGTGCAGAGTCTGACTTCTTTTTCCTGCATCACTGTTTGACTTCATCGTGGATATTTGTGCAGTTTTGTATGCTGTCATCTTCTGGACCATTGAGAGCATTGATGCAGCTGCAATGTTTTTAAAATAAGTGTTCTGCTGTTGCCCCTGGGATGTTTCCCCAAGCCACTGATCACCTGCCTGCAAGTTTTGATACGGTGCTTTCCCATTTGTCTGAACTCATCTGTGTCTTTTTCCTCAATTGAATCACGTATCCTCGGAACTGGAGAGGCTTTGGATCCAGTCTGTAGGAAATTTCTGACTGCCGATGCCTTACTGAGAAGCCCTGCAGGATGCACGCCAGCCTTGCATGGCTTTCAGATTTCTTGTGTTTGTTCTGAGGGAAATGGCAAATCTTTTTGGCCTTTGGCGTTGCTTGGCAAGCGTTCACTCATCGGGTGTCAGTGGGCTTATAACTGAATGGGGCGAGAACAGTACAAAGAGCTTGGCCAGGTTTTTGTAGGAGCAGTGTGCAGGTAGCAAGAGCTCCACTGTGGCCATGACTGTAGAAGGCCCTGGAGTGTGAGACACGTCCTGACTTCTGACATGTTAAAATACTTAAAAATATACCTTGGAATTGATAGATTAGGGTATAATTTGTGATAGTAAAATGATAATCCATCTAAAAGTACAACTACAGGGGCATAGTTAATTAAATTATAGAACACAGACTATGTAGACGATTATTCCATGGTAAAGTGTCTTTATGAATGTTTCCATATATTTTAAATAATAGTCCATAGCAATTATATATGATTAATTCATTTAGTAATTGATATATTGAACTCCTACTATGTTTGAGACCCTAGAAAACACAGACTAGCTCCCTGTGTTCTGAGAACCTGTATTCTAGAGCAGAAATGGACAGAAAGATGTAAAGAAGCAAATAATATCTCATGGGATAAGTTCCATGAAGGAAACAGTTGGTGCAGAAAGAGCAGGTAACAAGAAAGGGACCGATTTTGATGTGATGGTTAGGGAAGGCCTTGCCGAGGAGGCACTATTGAGGCTGAGAACTATGGAATGGGGCCAGCACTACTGAGGGTCAGAGCAGGGGTGAGGGCAAAGAGCCCAGGACTTGTGGAGGTGAAACAGCAGAGCTGAAGGCTTGGGGTGGGGAAGCGCTTGGCATGTTTGAGCAGCTGAAAGCAGGCTCCATTGACTGAAGCGTGGGTCAGGGAGACTGGTAAGGGCTGAAGTTGCTTTTCCAAGTTGGGGAAATCGTGGAGCCCTTTGGAGATTATCATAAAGCGTTTCAGGTTTACTGTGAGATGAGAAGCCATTGCCTGCATCACAAGATCTGATTGTGTATTCTTTTTATTGATAAATGTTAGTTTTACATATTTTGGGATACATGTGATATTTTGACGCCTTTTATACGATGTGTAATGATCCAGTTAGGGCAACTGGGATTTAAGGAGACCACTCTGGATCCTGTGTAGATTGCAGAGGAAAGGAGAGGCTAGTCAGAAGGCCAGGTGTTTATCCAGGCAAGAAATGGTCTTGGCATGCATCAGGGTGGCAGAAGCAGAGATGGAGAACATCTGAGGGAGCAGCAGTCCTTGCTAAAGGTACATAGAAGCAAGCAGAGAAATCAAAGGTACCTTTCAGGTTTCAAATCTCAGCAACTGGGTGGAAGGTATTTATCAAGATGGGGAAGATGGGTGGGAGTGTGAGTTGGAAAGCACTGAGAATTCCATTCTGGACATGGTAAGTTTGATCTGTTTGTGAGACATACGAAATATCTAGTTGAACACACTCAGAGGGAACAGAGAAAGAGAGTCTGGGATAGCGATATTAATTTGGGAGTCATTAGCATAGTTGGTTGGAAATGGATGTGGTCACTTGAGGTCAAAATAAAAAGGCCCTACACTCAGACTAAGTTTTGAGCCACACCAATATTTAGAAGTTAGGGAGAAAGAAAAAGGCAAACAGAATGAGCAGAAGTAGCCACTGGGTGGGCGGGAGAAGGTGGTTGTCTTTGAAGTTGTCACTGGTGATCCCAATGAGGGCTGTTTGGTGGCAGCCACTATGGCTACAACCCTATAAAAACCGGTGTTTAAATATAGATAAGAAATCTGAGGAGGCTGTTTTATTTAGATGAAGAGACGATGATTATAATTCTAGTAACCATTTTCTGAAAAAGAAAAACCATGCAGTGTGTCTTGGCAAATGAACTTCCTGACTGATCTGCTGGAAAGGTATTGCAAGAGGAGCTCACAGCATGATCTTTTTTTTTTCTTTGTTAATGGGCTGTGGAAAAGCCTGAATTGTTTCCTGTAAGCAGGGGAAATAATTTAAGCATGCAAAGAACATCTGGTGATGTCCCCAGTTCTTGATGATATACTTGCTTCTTGCAGGTGTGGTACGCCGCATCCTATGCTGAGTTCGTGAACCAGAAAATTCATGACATTTCTGAGGAAGAAAGGAAAGGTGGTTAGACATTTATGTTTTACGTTTTCTATATGAATTCTAAATTGTGTATCATCACATCTTTATGAAACTCTGTTTTGTCTCAACATATTTCAGAAGCTATTCCAGTAGGTTTCTTAGAGACACACATCTTCATCTAATTCAGGGTCAAATTACAATGACATATTTACATTTCTTTCATCGGTGCTGGAAAATAATATTTAATATAATGAAAACTTCCAAATACAAAATTAGAACCTAGATTAGAGGACAGTTCCTATCCAGATTTTATCATCTCTGAGGATATACCAAGATAGGCATTGACTTTATTTTTAATGCAAATATCACTGAAGTATAATCTACATGCAGAAAGCTGCACACATCCTAAGTATACAGCTTAAATTTTCACAAAATAAACACACCCATGTAACCTGCACCCAGATCAAGAAACAGAGCATTACTGCGCCCCAGAAGTTTCTTTGTGCTGCCTTCTAATTCCTGCTCACTCCCAAGTGTAACTCTCTCCTGACTTCCAGCACCACACATAAGATATGCTTATTATCAAACTGTGCATAATAGAATTATGTGACATGTACCCTTTTGGTGCCTGGGTATCTTTTGTTCAACATGGTATTTATGAGCTTCATCCACATCGGTGTATATAATTATAATTTATTCATTCTCATTGTTATTTGGTATTTGAGTATATAAATATACAACAAGTGATTTATCCATTATGTTGTAGATTTGGTTGTGAAATGCACTTCTGTCACTAACTCTCCAGAGTTAGATCAAGTTTCACAGGTCCAGGGCAGTCATCTGCAAGACACCCCTGACTTCAGACACCAGCTGCAGGCTCTGGGGCTCCCAAGCCCCAGCCCAACTGGCTACAAGTTAGGAGGTTCCCAGTAGCTCCCCAGGTTTGAAAATTCACAAGAAGGACTCGCAGAACTCGGAAAAGTACTGCTTTTAAGGATGGCCATTTTCTTACAAAGGATATAATAAATCCTTTTGTTTATTATAATATATAAATAGATATCTAATATATAAAAATATATGGTTTTTATATATTAGGGCCAGCCAAATGAAGAGATACATATGGTGCCAAATGAAGAGATACATATGGTGAGGTCTGGGAGATCCCAAAATGTCCTCAGGACGTGCCACCCTCCTGGCACATTGATGTATGATTCCCAACCATAGAGGCTCACCTGAGCTTCAGTGTCCATTACATAGGCATGACTGATCCAATCATTGGCCAGGTGATCAAGCTTGATTGCCAGCTTCCCCACCTCCCCCTTCTTCCGTGAGGTCAGGCTAATAACCCCTGGCTCCAAGCCCCACATTTCTAATTACGTGGTTGAGCTTTCCTGCATGGCCTGTCCCCACTCTGAAGCATCTCATTAGAATAAATTTGGGTATGTTTATGGGATGAGGCACCATGAATAACAAAGACACTCCTATTACCCAGGAAATTCCAGTGACTTAAAGGTTACCAACTAGGGACAAAGACCAGCTAGATTCTTTATTACACAATAAGATCATTTCTAGTTTTTGGCTATTTTGAAGAGTGCTGCTGTGACCGTTCTTATGTGTCTTTTAGTGAACGTATGTGCACATTTCTGTTCGTGTATATCTGGGAGTGGAGTTGCTGGGTCATGGAGTATGCCTATATTCAGCTTAGTGGATACTTATGAACATTTTGCTAAAGTCATTATACTGGGCATTGACTTTGAAGTTATTTGTGCGAAAATATACCCTCAGATGATGAAACTGGGTTCTGAATCGCTAGGTTATCTGAATACAGATGTTTGCAACATCTTTCATGTTTTCAGTGTGATGAGGTCATGTGTGTGTGTTGAGGCTGTGAGAGGGTGATGTGAGGGTATTTGTTCCCTTGATGTCTTGCACGGATGCATTAGAAAATAAGATCCTAAAAACCAACTCTGCCAAATTTTAGCTTTCGATTTGATAACAAAACAGTAATGTAAATAGCAGATACTGTACAGTCATGAACCCTTTGGGCTGCAGTAAGATAAGAATGGTGGGGATCGCAGGCATTTGAGTTTTGTCGGTGTCTGTTGATCATCAGCCCTTATGATTTCTCTCCTGTGACTGTAGTTCTTCGAGAGCAAGAGAAGAATTGGCCCTGCTATGAATGTAACCGCCGATTTATAAGCTCAGAGCAGTTACAACAGCACCTCAATTCTCATGATGAGAAACTAGATGTGTTTAGCAGGTATGTATGAGGGAGAAAGGCTCACAGACTGAGTTTATAAAGGTTCAGAATCATTTCCGTATTATATTAGCTATCATTCTGTATTAGCTAGAGACACTAGCTAATGAGTGTCTCTGAGTGTCATGTGCAGGTAAGTAACCAGATGGGCTACTGAGGGAAGGGTGTTACCTTTCATGTCCTTTCCCCTCTGCTCTTCATTGACCATTACCCATCTTTTCCAGCATAACCAAGACCCAGCAATGGGACGTCCTTTCACTTTAGATAAATCTCCCTTAATTGGAGATTCTGAAATAGGAAATTTTGAGATAGCATATACCTTCAAAATAATCTGCATCTTTGATTTTCAGACTTTGCAGCAGTACAATTACTTAATCAAACTAAGTCATATGTTTAACTGCACTGTATTGAAAAGACAGATGGGGGAGAATGATATAGGATGAAGTGGGCAGGAGCCAGATCAGGTAGGGCCTTGTGGGAAATGGTGAGGAATTTAGATTTTATTCTAAGTGTGATGAGAAGTCTTTAGAGGGTTTTGGTCAGAGAGTATTGTGATGTTCATTGTATTTTTTGAAAACCATTTTGGACAAAAATAACACCTGGATAAAATTGCCTCTAGCTTATATTGGAGTAAGAGTGGAGACAAGGAGTCCCATTAGCAGCTATTGCAACAGTTTGGGGGAGGAACGAGGCTGGTGTGGGATAGGGTCATGCCAGGGGGACACGTAGGGTTGCCAGTTTTTCCAGGGTTTGGAAAGACGAGATGTATGAGATGGTAGTTAGCTAAGTGGGAAAGTGAATGTTGTAGGGAAGTGCCGTACAATGGCAAGCTATATGAAGCGCCCACTTGGAGTTCATGGTTATGAAATGAAAGTGAGCCCACTAGCATGGCTGTGCATTGTTCTCCAGCCTCATACAGCTGCAGGGGTGCCGGTGCAGAGCAGTCAGGGAATTGGATGACACAGAGTTGTGGCTTTGCTAAGTGCTTGTAACACACATTGAGAAAACAGAACATCCGTGGGATGGGAATTGAGAACACACACAAGGGCATGGTTCCAGTGAGGGACCTGGAAATATGTGCTGTGGAAGAAGGGGAGAGAACTCAAGGCAACTCAGGGCTGCACAGAAGTGCCAGAAGGATTGGATTGGAGATGCTTGCATGGCTGAAGGGTTGTTGAGTGCAGGGACTAGAGGGAGTGAACTACAGAACCAGGGTAGTGTCCGAGTGGGTAGTGCACAGGATTGTCATGAAGAGACTTACAAGGGTGACAGGGTCTAGGATGTGACCACAGGGATGAATGTCTAAGCAGGGTAGACACAGATTTGAGTCACTCTCTCCTGGGTATCTCTAAAACTCCGTTCGTGGCTCTATTGTAGCAATTTTTATATTATATTGTAATTTTTGGTTTATATGCCAGCTCCCTCTACTAGTGCCAGCTTCCTCTACTAGACCCCTGAGGGTAAAATCTGTTGCATGTAATCTGATGTCCTTAGTGCCAGCATGGCATGTGACACGTAGTAGATAATACATTTGTTAGCCAACTGGTAAGAGAAACTTGGGACAACTAGGAAGATTTGAACTTTGACTAGGTATAATAATACTCAGCAACTTTCAGGTATTTCTTAGGTAATAATGGCATTATGGTCATATACATGTAAAGAATCCTTATGAGTCAGAGAGATATGCCAAAATATCTAGAGATGAAAAGATATCTGAGATTTGTTTCAAAATCATCTACTGGGTATGTGTGTGGGCAGGTGGTGGGGGTACAGATGGAAAAGGTTGGCCATGGGTTGAAAAATGTTGGAATTGGGTTATGGGTACATTGGGCTCATCGTACTATTTTCTACATTAACCTAGGTTCAGAATTTTCCAACATGGAAAGTCTTTTAAAAGTTGCTGGAAAAAATCTTTAGTATTTGCTAAATTATTAAATAGATAAGTGGAACAATAAAATTTTGATCTGATTGACATTGTATGCTTCCCACATACATATCTTCTAAAAGAAGTTTCCATAACTTACTTTTTGAGCCTCTTTTTTTTTTTTAGACAGTCTCGCTCTATCACCAGGCTGGAGGGCAGTGGCGTAATCTTGGCTTACTGCAACTTCTGCCTCCTGGGTTCAAGCAATTCTCCTGCCTCAGCCTCCCGAGTAGCTGGAACTATAGGCATGCGCCACCACGCCCAGCTAATTTTTGTGTTTTTAGTAGAGATGGGGTTTCACCGTGTTGGCCAGGATGGTCTCGATCTCTCAACCTCATGATCAGCCTGCCTCAGCCTCCCAAAATGCTGGGATTACAGGCGTGAGCCACTTTTATTAAGGAATTTATGTTTGTTAGCAATTCATGCCAGGCATCGTGGCTCATGCCTCTAATCCCAGCACTTTGGGAGGCCCAAGAAGGAGGATTGCTTGTGTTCTGGACCAGCCTGGGCAACATGGCGAAACCCTGTCTCTACAAAAAATTAAACAAAATTAGCCAGGCGTGGTGGTACATGCCTGTAGTCCCAGCTACCTGGGATGCTGAAGTGAGACAGCTGCTTAAGCCCAGCTGGTTGAAGCTGCAGTAAGCCATGATTACATCATTGCACTTCAGCCTGGGTAGCAGAGCAAGACCTAGTCTCAGAAAGAAAAAAAAAAATCCATTAAGGGGGATATAAAATTTAATTGATGTTTACTAGGCATGCTATGAAACAATTGAATTAGAAATTTGTTCTGACCTTCCAGAAGCTTGTAGTAAAACAAGAAAGTTGTTTGAATTTGGCTACATTTCTTGGAAGGAGTATGAGGTGAGGCTAAGGGAAAAGAGAGAAATAATGGGACTCTTGTCTCAGATGACATCTCCGGGGAACACACTTGAAGGCTTAGCATGTTCTGTCCTGTCTGCCTTTTTTCACATCATTTCAGAAGCAAAATATTGTCAGTGCTTTGAATTTTTATAGCTTTTTTCTTCAGAATAATTGAAGACATATCTTTAAGCTATAATAGAGGGCAAGGATGAGACATTCAGAAAGTGTATATTAGTAAAACAGTTGTTTCCACTGAAGAAAATCCAGGAAAGTAATAAAGTGAGAGACATCAAAATCTGGGGTTAGTAAGGATCCTTTAGGTCATGATTTGTTATGGAGTATTATGTAAACATGATGACCCATAACCCAATCTCTTGTCCCCAGAACAAGAGGCAGAGGAAGGGGACGAGGCAAGAGGCGATTTGGTCCAGGTCGACGACCGGGGCGTCCTCCAAAATTTATCCGCCTGGAAATCACCAGCGAAAATGGGGAAAAGAGTGATGATGGGACACAGGTACCGGGGGACGGGAAGGAACCCTCCTTAGATGCTTGTGTGGAGGACTCGCCAGATCCCTGACGAGACGTAAATACAAATACAAAGAGACCTTCCCAATGTTTGTAGACCTTTCCTATCAGACTTTGATGCCTGTTAATTAAAGTATGATTAAAGAATGGCAGAAAAGTGTATTATCAAGGGTTACCTACAACAAAAACCCAACTTCGCTGCTCTAAAGATTTGAAATTAAGCAGTTAGTAGAGGTGGACTTTGTTTAATTAAACTATTAAAATTATTGATATTCCAGAAAAGTCGTATCACAGTCTTTTCTTTGTTAAGTGCTCTGGAATCTCTGCTACTTTGCATTCTGTGCATAGTTACCTAATTAACTTTCCCAGAGGGAGAATATTTTTTTCTGAGTATTATGAATCTAGTCATTCTGAAATAAGCAGCAATTCTAAATCTGACCCGACAGACCCTCCAGCACTGATCTCTATTCCTGCTTATTGCAAATTTCAGGACTTGCTACATTTTCCCACAAAGGAGCAATTTGATGAGGCTGAACCAGCCACTCTGAATGGGCTGGATCAACCAGAACAGACCACTATCCCAATCCCTCAGCTGCCACAAGACACCCAGTCTCCCCTGGAACATGAACCGGAAACTCACACCCTGCATCTGCAGCCACAGCACGAAGAGAGCATGGTGCCCACCCAGAGCACGCTGACAGCCGACGACATGCGCAGAGCCAAGCGCATCCGAGTAAGTGGGGAAAGCCGGCAGCTCCTTGTGCCAGCCGGTGATCTTCCTCTCACCACCAGCTTTCTGGTGGTTTTCCAAGCTATTCACCTTCCACTCTGAAATCTCACATCTAGCCCGTCACATGTGCAATCCCCTTGTTTTGAAAGAAGGTATTCACTATTTCTCAATGTCTCGGTGTCCTGTGGCAGGCTGGCATGGCTGGTCCTAGATTCGACCCATTTAGTAATGACACAGAGGCCTGGAGGTTGGCAGCTCCTGAACTAGCTCTCTGCATCCCTCAATTCACAGATTGGAACTGGAGAAATACATTCATTTAGTTATAATAATCATTTGTATTTTAAACCAGGCTAATTTGTGCCTAATCATAGTGCTCAAGTTAATTTTGGGTAACTAAATTTGCTTATCTACTGCTTCCCAGGGGAGAATGGCAAATGTCATTACTCATCACTGTAAAGTGACCTGTGTCCAAGTTGAGACGGCAGGTACAGTTCACACACCTGGAGATAGCTTGAGCCAAAGCTGTCAGTTCGAGAGTTAGTCAGTGTCCCAGTCACCTGACCTGTGTCTTGGCCTCAGACCATGCGGCTGCAGAGCTTTCATGACTTGCAATTCAGATGCGTTTTGTTATTTCACAAATAGCATTTGAGTCTGAGTTAGGAACTGCAGGGGATTTGTGTGGAAAACAATATGGCTTTGTGGGATAAGTGTCTGTGCTGATAAAAAACAATGACTTAAAACCCATGTTTGTGGCAGCTGAGTGCATAAAGACTTACTGGTACTTTCCGGTAGATGAAAGAGACATTTTGTAACTTCCCAGGCTTTACAATTTCTACATGCATGATCATTTCAGCATAGGTTTCTCTTGGTCTTCTTATTTGCCTGTAGGCTAGAAGGGACCTTGAAAAATAGTCTAGTCCATGCCTTCATGTAAAAACACACTTAAACATTTGTAGCCATATGATAGCTTTGAAGGGCTCTAAGAACTCTGAGGCTAAACAGCCCTTATGAGGGCCCTGTATCGAAACATATAAAACTCTCAACTCACTGTATGTTATTTCACAAGGGTATAATCAACATACAGAAATATAGACCAGGAAAAAAAAGCTATGACTTAGTATCTTCCCATCCATTATTCTCCTTTAGTTCCTAATCTGCACTTCTTTCTCGTGCTTAATTACTGTATTTTCTGCTTTGGCCATTTTGATTTTTTTACTAAGTCCAGAAAAATGCTTGCTAGATTTTTGTTTTTTGTTTTTTGAAAAAAAAAAAAAAAAAAAAAAAAAAACAAAACAAAACAAAAAAAACCGAAGCCCACACATGCAGTGAAGTTGTGGATGCACGAACACAGTCCAGCCATAATTGTACATGCATTCTTGAATGAGCAGGGTTACTGGTTTTGGTACAAGGTTCCTTGTGTCAAAGCAAAAGCCATATGTCTCTGGCTTTTGGAGGTCAGTCTTAGTTGAGCTATTTTGTTTTTTTTTTCTCTCACACATTCTAAAAAGTAGGGCTATGTATTTTTTCATCTTTTCTATCCAGATTGGTAATGACCAACTGAAGGGAAGTCTTCCAATCCAATTGGTAATGTAACTATTTTTCTCTCCTCTAATGCTGCCTGCTCAGTTGGAGCTGCAGGTAGGTTTGTTTCCTGTGTTTCACATAACAGAATGTTACTTAAGTGTTTGCCTGACCTGCTGTTCTTTGCAACCTGTACTTACTAAATCCTGGTGGAAACCACAATTTGGTTGCTGCAGTAAATGAAAATTAATGAATAATGATAACTTATTTGAAAACAGATCAGTGAATACATTGTGGGCCGCAGGCTCCTTATATACAAAATGAAGGGTAGGGCTAAGTGATCTCCAAGGTCCCTTCCAGCGCTGAAACCACCGGAATGACTTATGCAGTGATGCTGAGGTCTAACTATGTATTTGGCCACTGTGCTGGGTACACAATAGAATTTTCACTTGAGCTTACAGTCTAAATAGGGAATCAATACTAATGTAGGGGAGTTTCCAGTTAGGTGTTCAATGTAAAAAGTGTATCTTGGAAGAGTGAAAGGTCGAAGTCAAATAGAGGAGTCAGGATAATTCATGATGAGGTGAGACTTAGACTAGCCCATGAAAGGAAGAGAGGAGGAAGGTAGACTGTTACAGAGAATGGCAGCCATGGGATCAGAGGCCCAGACACAGGATGTTCTTGCTGTGGCTCGGGACAGTGTAGACGTGAGCCTAGCCGTAGCGGGGGTGCAGTGGAACGATGGTGCAGAGAAAGCTGTGTTGAGCAGGGCTGGCCAACCAAAGGCTTTGAAAGTGGGCAGAAAACTGTCTAAAGGAAAGTGGTTTAAAAGACCCCAAAACTGCCAGGCACAGTGGCTCCCGCCTGTAATCCCAGCACTTTGTGGGGCTGAGGAAGGTGGATTGCTTGAGCCCAGGAGTTCAAGACCAACCTGGGCAATGTGGTGAAACCCTGTCTCTACTAAAAACATACAAAAAATTAGCTGGACATGGTGGCACGCACCTGTAGTCCCAGCTGCTCTGAGCCTGGAAAGTCGAGGCCGCAGTGAGCTGTGATTGTGCCACTGTACTCCAGCCTGGGAGATGGAGTGAGGCCCTGTCTCAAAAAAAGCCCTCCATACCCCAAATCAACAAACATGATTGATTTCCTTTTTGTGTCAGAATTAAAACAGTATGAAAATTGATCAGTAATTTAGGTTTTTGTAGCTATTAATATCAAACTTTAGAAATATTTTAGTCAGGCGTGGTGGTATGTACTTACAAGTCCCTGCTATGCTGGTGGCTGAGGTGAGAGGATTGCTTGACTCTGGGAGGTCGAGGCTGCAGTTAGCAATGATCATGCCACTGCACTCCAGCCTGGGTGACGGAGCAAGACTCCATCTCTAAAAAACAAACAAACAAAAATCCCCTAAACTTTAGAAACAGTTTATGATCTTTGTCCATAAGTAATCTGTTGTCTCAGAATTCATTGCAATGTGAGTTGAATCCCAAATCATAGAACTTAGCAACGATATGATTTTAGTGTCCCTAGAGTAGCTGATATATATGTATAGTGTGGTGGATTGCCTGATGAACTCAGGGAGCAGGAGAACTAGAGTGGATCTGTGTGCTTTCTCTGACATTTCATAATTTTTTCTAGAAATGAGTACAGGTGGTAACTCTGATCTACAGAAGACACCTTAGAACAGAACTAGCCTGCAAGTGGGTCAAGGGGTGGGAACCGTTTCAGCACTTTTACAACCTTGTAATGTGCCGATCCCATTAGTATCATTAGATCAGAGAAATTACAGTTTAGTTCTTGAATACAATGTTCAGGGCTCCGTGGAAATTGAAAATATGATAAGGTTTGTCAGTAGAACCAAGAAAGTGGAGCCAGGTGGTGGCTCAATTTAAATCAACTGTCTGAAGGTGCTCACACTAATCAGAAATGACAGAAGACTGATTAGCATAATGGACCAAAACAAAACTGAGTTCTGTATTTTGGCACCTAAGGAGAAATGGCATCCTCAGTGGGACCACAATCAATGTGCATTATGTCTGTCCTTGGACACTTCACTGAACTTGGATAAAGGAAGAGATTTCTACATGGCAAAAGTGATTTAAATCTTGCGTCTCTGAACCTCAGAATAGCATTGGTTCATCTGCAATATTTCCATAAAGATTAAAATTAAACAAAATAGTAAAGCTTTGATGTAAAATTTATATCCAGACAGAGTAAAAAGATGAGGTGGCTGCTGAACTGTGCACAGAAGTGAAAGCAAGCCCTATGGCTGATTTGAGAAAAACCTATTATTATTATTATTATTATTATTATTTTGGAGACAGAGTCTCACTGCAACCTCCACCTCCTGGGTTCAAGCAATTCTCCTGCCTCAGCCTCCCAAGTAGCTAGGATTACTGCCCTGGGGTTACAAGTGCCTGCCACCATGCCTGGCTAATTTTTGTATTTTTCGTAGAGATGGTGTTTTACCATGTTGACCAGACTGGTCTCGAACTTCTGACCTTAGGTGATCCGCCCACCTCAGCTACCCAAAGTGCTGGGATTATAGGTGTGGGCCGCAATGCCCGACGGAGAAACATCTATTCTTAGAAATCTCTGCAGATGCTCTAGAAAAATCCTTGAAATAATTCTTTTGAGTTTCATATGAAATATATTTCACTGATTTTCAAACTACTTTTGAAGACTTCCTATAAGCTAAGCAACTTATTAAGGGATCTGGATACAAAAAAAGAATAAAGTATGATACATCCCCTGAAGCAGCCCCATTGTCTGAAGAAGATAACTGAATTGCTGTTTATCTACTCAAGATAAGTGAGTAGGTAGCTGCTTAAAAATCTTTCTCCTAAACCCGGTTAGAGAAGTCCTGAGAAAGAAATTTTCTGTTACACAGTAATTATGTCTAGAAATTTCACTAAATCTAAAATAATTATTTTGTTTTCCTCACGTGATGATTTCACATTAAATTTAGTTTAAAAATTGATGCTTACAAGTAATTTGAAGAGTTTAAGCATTGTTCACTGCACTTTCTTCATTACACAAATCATGCACGAAGATCTCCATTAATCCTTCAGTTACCGTTCATTTATAGCTACATAGGCACAGACATTCACAGATATACTTGAAAGATTCCCCCCCGTGTAGCAATCTAGAGCTTTCTTGCAGTGTTTTGAGGAACTTATGAATGAGTCTTCATTATAAGCATAACTGAAAGATTGATTCCGCATTCTGTGTGAGAGATGATTTTGTTGATCTGCTCTCAGTAGAGCATGCATAGTTTTTCCAGTGGTGGTGATGGGTTTGCACTGAGTACCCATACTATCCCACTTGGATTTCCTATAACAATTGCATGAATTTACAAGATGGCTAATCAGCATTACAAGTGCAATCTGTGCCTGAAAACAAAGAGCAGAATTGCCTGGTCTAGGCAGGGAACAGTGTGATGAGCTTAACTTTGTTAGCATGGCATTCTAACTAGTAGAACTAACTATGCTGGGACCCTGTCTTCTGTTCTAAGAAGGAAGTGATAAAATGCATATATTCCATTTATGATGTGTGCTCATGTCTCAGTCACATAAATCTGAATCCTTTTCGGTTCTTTTTCTTGAATTGAGATCTGTAATTCTCATGGCAGAAAATTTACCCTTTAAAGTGGTTTTTAGAACGTTCTGAAGTTGTGCAATCTTCACCACTCTCTAATTCCAGAACACTTTTATCACCCCCAAAAGAAACCTGGTATCCATTTCCTCATCCACCCTGACACTGGCAAGGACCACCCTTCAGTTCTTTTTATTGTCTTTTTTTGCTAAGCGTTTTAATCAAGCCTCAAATTCATTTTCTCACGAATTTCAACAAATAACATTTGGCTGCCTTGCTCCAGCCTGGTTCTTGCATGTGTGACTTACCCTAAGTCTTTTCCTCCAGATCTTCCATTTTCATCCTGTTCCACTGTGGGATTTGTTTTATTATCCAAGTCTTCTATTGGGAATGCTTTTTTGTGTGACTTAAACGCTTTCTAAAGAAAACCCACATACATAGATGTAAAACAAAACACACAAAAAATTCATCTTTTCAAGAGGAACTCCTTTGAGGACAGCTTCATTTTCAGTCTTCCCAGAAACATCTTTCAACCGTGTGTGTCCCAGAGTTGAACTTCTGTTGCAAGTCTGTGATTGAGGAGATCATCCTCTCTTTCTCTGTAAAAGTGTGATCCATTTGCATTCTTGATTTCATCACTAAACGATCACATTTGTGTATGTCTTTCAGAATGCAGCTCTTCAGCATCTGTTTATTCGGAAGTCCTTCCGGCCTTTTAAATGCTTGCAGTGTGGGAAGGCCTTCCGGGAAAAGGACAAACTGGACCAGCACTTGCGTTTCCATGGGCGGGAGGGGAACTGCCCATTGACCTGTGATCTCTGTAACAAGGGCTTCATCAGCAGCGCATCCTTGGAGAGCCACATGAAGCTCCACTCAGACCAGAAGACTTACTCTTGCATTTTTTGCCCAGAATCCTTTGACCGCCTTGATTTGTTGAAAGATCATGTGGCCATTCATATTAATGATGGCTACTTCACCTGCCCAACTTGTAAGAAACGGTTCCCAGATTTTATCCAGGTGAGTGTCTGCTACTGCGATTCCTGTCTGCTTCCTTCTTTTGGTAAAAGAAACTTCGATTTTTGGAAAACTGAGACTGCTTAGCACCTGCATTTTCATTCCTTCTTTGAAACAACTTTACAATTGAGAACAATATTTCTTCAATCAAACTACGTTTGTAAACAAAAGATTATTGATCCTTAATTGTCCGGATCAGACATTGACATTGAAGTGTTTAAGTTATATTACACCCAGATCTGTTATAATTTTTAAAAAGTCTTTCATAATCTTTATCAATATCTATTACTTATAAGATATACAGAGCCTGTAGAAGACATACTCCCATTTCCGAGGCTGGGAACATCTACTCCCTACTACTGTGGTTTCCTGTCTTGCTTTACCAAGGCCATCCATTTTGGAAGGAGACAAAGAGAAAGTTGGTATATAATATACTTTTGTATCAAGCAACGACCGCCTTCTCCCCTGTAGTGTATTCTTTGTTGGAGCCAAATGGATGAAGATAAATTTCAGAATATTCGTAATTTCATTTGGACTTTAAGTGTTAGGATTTTCCTATGCTAGTCAGTGAATAATGAAGCATTTTGTAAAAATACTCTTTTTCAATTACCAAAGGAAAAGAAGACCAGGATTTAATTTTAGTTCTGCTCACGTTGAGAGTCTTGGAAATTTTCTCACTTCACACAAACTAGGAGAAAGGTTGCTTTAAGGCATAATTTAATGGCAAAAGAAACTCCAAAAATAGTGAAGCAAACTGTCTTATGGGAATAGTTTGCTAGGACTCACTACTTAGCTTCCATCCTCAGCTCTTCTTCACTGGATATGTGTGGCTAGGAGAGTTCAGAAGCCCTATTCCTTCGTTTATCTAAAAGTAAGGGAAGTAAATCCTAGTTGAGAAATGACACCAGCGTCAGATGGCTCTCATAAACCAGTAATGCCTTCTGTATCCTCTCATTCATGTCTTTAATTCTTCAGAACTTGATTTTATAAGAAGATGTAAAAGGATCAAAAGGGGCTAAATTGCTTCTATGCAGATTAAAGACGGAGAAAAGTAAGGAAGAATTGGTTTTTGTCTTCCTCTAGATCCTTTTTAGCAAGATTCATTTAAGCCCAAAGGAACTTTTGCTTTTTATCTTTGAAAAATGGGTTGCAAATGATCAGGGTTTGACCAAGCAAGCACTCTGTCTTCCACGTTTCAAGTCCTCTGGGAGGTTAGGATTTCTAAGGCTTTCTGGCTACTTGTTTTGTTTCTTCGTGACAGGGACAGTATGTGTTATTGAGGCCAATTATCACATCTGATTGGATTCCTCCGCGGGGTTGATGAAAACCCATGGTAATGCATTTGGCTCCCTCTAGCGTTGACAAGCTGCCTTTGGTCATTTCCTCTGGTCCCTGTGTCCACTGAGTTCTTCCATGGTTTTTACTACCAGGTGAAAAAACACGTGCGCAGCTTCCACTCCGAAAAGATCTACCAGTGCACAGAGTGCGACAAGGCCTTCTGTCGCCCGGACAAACTGCGACTCCACATGCTCCGGCATTCGGACCGCAAAGACTTCCTGTGTTCCACTTGTGGGAAGCAATTTAAGGTAAGACACTGAGACACAGCCCAAGGTGGTTCTCCTGGCCGCTGGAATTACCGCAAGCTGAGGGTAAATGCCTGTTCATTTCATCGGTTTATCACCCAGTTCTCATGAACTGGACCTGAGATGCACTTTGGGCCTTGTGTTTGACTTAGTTATAAAATTAAGGGAGGAAACTTACTTAATTCCTCAAAATAGTTAATTCAGATCCCCAAACAAGTGGAGTAAAAATGCATCTCCTAAAAGAATCCAAATGTATAATGACATTATAACTAAATTGCTATTGAGATTTCCTAACAGACCAATACCTTTACTTACCATTCAGATCAAGAGGTTTTTATTGAGCACTGAATAAGAGCCAGTAATTGAGGCTCGCAGGCAGCAGGACTCTGATCTGATACAGGTGGGAAATCTGAAGAATGCTGAGAAGGCTTAGACTACTTTGGAGAATGTTAATGACCTCAAAGATTAAAGTAAAATGTAATAAGTATCAGTAACCCACCTGGAACTTAAAAGAAGCCAAGCAAAACCCTGTAGGGGACCCAGAAATAAGAGTTAAATAAATAAATGTAAAAACAATGAAATATGCTTCATTGGGAAATCGGATGATTCTGCAAAAATGTCATTGGAAGACCTTCTGCTGAATGTGATTGTAGGTCACACTCTCATAGAAATTGGAAAAGAATCAAATGGATTCAGGAGAGGAAAATTAAGGATATATTTATGACACATGGAAAGAAATTAAAGAGAAATAGAATTTTCAAAACTTGCTTTATGGTTAAGTGTGTTACAGAATGTAATCTAATGGCTTTTAATATATAGTAGCACAATTTAGAATTCTGTAGAGAACTCCAATGTGAAAAGTATAAATAGGTCTGAGATTTTTCTCTTCTTAAATTAAAAAAAAATTGTATCTAAAAAGATTCCTGTTTTGTGTTACTGTTTGGCCATCCACCCATCCCATCCAGCCAATATTTTTTTGATTTTTCATTTTGTGCCAGATACCATATTTTAACACCTTGGAATTTTTTTTTTAATGTCTTTGCTTGCTTTCATGTTCTCCCTTACTTTCACCCAGTATGTTCATCACAGTTCAATCAGAGAAGCAGAGCCACTGTGAGTGTTACAGAAGATGATTTTCTTATAGGACTAGGAACTCAGTTATAGACGATGGAGAAGTGAGAGTCAGAAGGGAGATTCTGGGAGGCTGGAACTCGGCAGTATACCCACAGAAGCATTGGTCTGGGTGGTCAAATGGGAACTTACCTGGGACTCTGGGAGCCAGGCACCTCCACCCGCAGGGGGGCCCAGGAAGGAGAGCTGGTGCAGTTTGTGGAAGACCATGTCACTGCATCTGGTGGTGGATGTGGAGCTGGCCAACAGGGCTGGCAGTAAGGAAGACAGCTGGTGGCTGGGTGGGAAAGAGAGGAAAAGTAGGGACCCACAGGTACCTCTACTTGACACCATCTACAGTAGCACGGGGCTGCTTCCTTTCCACCTTCCAGGCTGGTGTGAGTTTCTCTTTGGCTATCTCCCAACCCGGAACCATGCTGGGAAGGAGATTCTCTTTAAATGTAGTTCCTCTTAGCCAAGTTGACACAGCACAAAACCAGTACTACCTACCTTCATAGCATATTTTCAAACTAGAATCAGAGTAGTTTTTCTGGAGAACAGCTCTGATGTCACGTCCTTTCCAAAAAACTCTTTAATAGCTCATCATGCAAATAAATCCCGAAGTTCTTGTTACTCCTAAGATGCTACAGGATCTGCCTCCTGCCAGCCTCTGTGGTTCCCGCCTCCCTGTGCACTCGGGGTGACCTGCCTGAACTCCGTAGCTTCACACGTGTGGCATACTCTCTCTCCTTGGGCCTTTGTACTTGTTCTCCCTCCCACTCCTGACTTGAAATGTACTTTCAAACTATTGTATACCTTAACCTGGCTAATGTCACTTCATATGTGGCATTTCCTGATCCCTGGATTAAGTGCTGTTTCTCCCATGAATTCCCACAGGGCTTTTTCTGGTGACTTTGTCATAGCATTTGTGTATCGCAATTGCTCGTCCTGCTAAGTGTAAGCTCCATGAGGGCAGCATTAAAGTCAAGGTGGGACTTTCTGACTTTAGGGAGCTCACACTAGCATAGAGAAAAGAATAAAGTGCTGTGAGAGGATTTCACTGATTTGGGGTGTAGGGGAGATGTCAGAGATACAGTGACACTTTTGAATCTACTCATGGGTAGGAAAGAGTTTGCCAGCTAGGGAAAGGGAAAGGTGAGGAGTGAGGGAGGAATATTGGTATCTCAAGCAGAGGAAGCAGCAGGGATGTGGCAATGCCACGATCAGGAGATGGGGAGAGGGCGAGTGATGGAGGGCGTGGCAAGAGGAAGCCAGGGAAGCAAGTTAAGCCAGCACACTGTGCTAAGTAATTAGACTTACCAGGAAGTGAGCCCTAGGCGTTTCAGAGCTGGGCTAATTCAGGCAGAGGCAGTGGGTGTGGAGAAGAGGGGCCATGATCAAGACAGGCATTGTGGGAGGCTGACAAGACCTTGCACTTGGATGAAAGGGGGAAGGGTGGACAGCAAGGAATGGAGATTTGCCTTTGAGAGGCTGGATGTTTGGGAACACCACTGGTATGAAAAAGCATGACTTAGGCAGAAGGAGTGGAGGCAGGTAGCAGATTTGGTTTGGGGGATGTTAGGGTGGAAAGACCTCATGGAGATTTGGCATCCAACACGTGTGCTTGTCACGATGTGCATGGCATAGTGTGATATTTGAGTTAGGCTTTGCAATTTACGTGGTGATTCAGTTAAGGTAAACGGGTTGTTTAAAGGGAATAGATGGGGGAAGTAGTGGATGTTGAGGCTTGGAAAAAGTGGAAATTCAGGAGGATTGGAGGAGGAGGAAGAGGAAAAGAAAAAAAAGTGGCAATGCAACAGTGTTTCATCGCTGTATCTACACTAAAGAAAGATACTGTCATTTGGCAGTGTCCTTAATCCAAATCCCACTGCAGTCAACGAAGCTCTGAACATTCCCTTCTGTGCTTTCCAGAAATGAAGGCAGGTGGGATAGGAAGAAAGAGGAGTTGGATCACATGCATTGTAGCAGAAGAGGGAGGGAAGCCTGGCACTGGAGCTCGGCCCTTAGCCTGCTCCTTGATACATGGTAGGCACTCAAGGAATATTTATTGAGTAAATGTGCTGAAAAAGGAAGTCCTTTAAAAAGTCCCTGTGCTGAAAGGTGGGAAGAACTGGGTTTGTAGAAAGGCTCAGAATCTTTACGGGACTAATAACAGTTTACTCATGTGTCCTAGAGCAGAAAGCCTCACTGGACCCGGGAGCTGGCACTTTGTTTTTATTCGGGATGGGCTCTGTCGGAGTCTCTCCATGGACTCACATGAGCATGTATCACTAGATAGTGAAACCAGGAGCTGAGCTCTGGGCCCCATGCTCCATCCATAGTAAACAATGGATTTGTTTACTTAAGCTTCTAATTCTGTACGGTGAGAGGTTCTAAATCCATAAGATAGGAGATTCTTAAATTCTTTTGGGATTTAGAAAAATATGTTTGCTAAAATATGTGGGAATTGAGTATACACATGGCTTTTTTTTAGACAGAGCCTTGCTCTGTCAGCCTCCTAAGACACAGGGATTACAGGTATCCGCCGCCACACCCAGCTAATTTTTGTATTTTTAGTAGAGACAGGGTTTTGCCATGTTGGCCAGGCTGGTCTCAAACTCCTGACCTCAGGTGATCTGCCCGCCTCTGCCTCCCAGTGTGCTGAGATTACAGGCGTGAGCCACCACATCCGGCCTACACATGGCTTCCAAAATCTGGTGTTACCTTTTATTCATTATCAATTTGTCTTTAGTTCTTTTATGCCAGGCTTATTCCATGTTCTCTTTAATCTTCTCTACATTAAAGTGCAGTCTTTATTCTCAAAAGTCAGTATGTATCTTTCCTATTTAATGGTCATTTTAAACCAAGGCTCATTGGAATGTACATATTTGCTAGTAAACAGAGTAACTCCCAGCCACTTTTAACATGACTTCCTATGTCCTAGTGTTCCAGCAACTCAGATGTCTCTTGGAGGCTTGTGGTGACTGCTAATTTGTATTGATTTTTAAAATTATCCCTTCAGTTAAAATTTTTCTACCCCCACGTCTACCCCGTTTTAAAAAATGCTCTCTAAATAGCGAAAAGACAAACTTCGGGAACACATGCAGAGGATGCATAATCCTGAGAGGGAGGCCAAGAAAGCCGACCGCATCAGCCGCTCCAAGACGTTCAAGCCTCGCATCACGTCCACAGACTACGACAGCTTCACGTTCAAGTGCCGCCTGTGCATGATGGGTTTCCGGCGGCGCGGCATGCTGGTCAGTGTCAAGTGGCTGCAGGTTCCTGTCTTCCCTGCACACCTCATTTCTGTCGATGATGGTCACTTTTGTGTTGTATTCTGTGCTAAGCTAAGTTATGTTGATCAATGGTTTTGTCAATGTCCAGGGGAAGAAACAGAGGGAAACAATTCCCAATTTGGAGTTCTCTCTTTTCTAGTCTCCCTTTGCCCTCTTGCTGCTTTTTGGGTTAATTCTTGCAAGAGGTCTTTTTCCATCACTTTTCATTACTAGTTTTGTTTTTCTTTACCCATCTCAATCTCTGCTCTCGCCCTATTTTATTTCCCTCTTTTGTGTTCCTGCATGTATTTTCTTTTGGGATATTTGCCTTCTCCTCAGCTGTTCCCTTTTATTTTATTTTATTTATTTTTGAGATGGAGTTTCACTTTTGTTGCCCAGGCTGGAGTGCAATGGTGCAATCTCAGCTCACTGCAACCAACCCCTCCCAGGTTCAAGCGATTGTCTTGCCTCAGCCTCCTGAGTAGCTGGGATTACAAGCACCTGCCACTATCCCTGGCTAATTTTTGTATTTTTAGTTGGGATGGGGTTTTACCATGTTGGCCAGGCTGGTCTCAAACTCCTGACCTCAGGTGATCCACCTGTCTTGGCCTCCCAAAGTGCTAGGATTAGAGGTGCGAACCACTGCGCCCAGCCCCCGGCATACATACCCTTTTAATGCCTGTCTTTTCCAGATATCAAACAGCAGTAGAAGGAAACTTTCCATCAAAGCAGGGTATGTGCATCCAGCTTAGCTGAAGCATCACGACAGCCTGTGTTCTGCTCTCAACTCATTTTGACCTTCTTACAGGTGCAGAATCTATTTCTGCCAGGAGCTGGAAAGTCATAGAGCAATATTTAAAATTCAGAACCGTAGTCTTTATCTCATTCCATGTTCTTAGTAAGGCTAGGGCATTAAATAATGAGAGACAAGTTTGCATGAGGAGAATTCACCAAAGAAATTCATACCAGTCTAATTTTCCTTTTTCTTTTCTTTTCTTTTTTTTTTGAGACAGTTTCGCTCGTTACCCAGGCTGGAGTGCAATGGCGCGATCTCGGCTCACCGCAACCTCCGCCTCCTGGGTTCAGGCAATTCTCCTGCCTCAGCCTCCTGAGGAGCTGGGATTACAGGCACGTGCCACCATGCCCAGCTAATTTTTTGTATTTTTAGGAGAGACAGGGTTTCACTATGTTGACCGGGATGGTCTCGATCTCTTGACCTTGTGATCCACCCGCCTCGGCCTCCCAAAGTGCTGGGATTACAGGCTTGAGCCACCGCGCCCGGCCTAATTTTCCTTTTTCTAACAGTAGTTCTTTCAGCCAAAGACCGATGATAGCTGAATTCACCACACTGAATTCACTTTTTTTTGGTTTGAATTATTGTTAACTCCTGTTAACCACGACTGTGAGTGCTTTGGTGTCAGTTGGGTCTGGTGATGCTGGTTCTGGTCAAATGCCTTATTATTTGGGAGCATTGCTTCAGAGAATTTCAGCTTCTGGCGGTCGTTATCAGAGGCATTTGTGCAGTTTCTGTTTGGTCAATGGGGTCCCTTTTTCTCATTTGCTCTTTGTTTTCACTTTAGGTAAATCACTTATCAAAGAGACATCCAGACATGAAGATAGAAGAGGTGCCAGAGTTAACTCTACCCATCATAAAACCCAATCGTGATTACTTTTGTCAGTATTGCGATAAGGTAAAAGGGAAATATTCATGCCTCTGGGGTTCCCTGCTTAGAGCTGACTTGTCCACATTTATAAATACATACGACGATTTTTTTGTTATTCTTACCAGATGGTTCCCTGTCTCTTAGAAGTCTCCATTCAGACAAGAAAGGACTAAAATTAGTCTTACTTTAAGCCAATATTTTTTTTTCTTAAGAAATAATTGACTTCATTTTTCTTACTTCCCTTCTCTCTGTGATTTTTGTTACACAAGAAGAGGCTATTACTAAGTGCCTACTGTGTGAATTAATTTCAAATTCCTAGGCTCTAAAACAAGAGTGTTTTTCATATGGCCTATAAAATATATTGTAGATTTGGGGTTTCTATAAGGTGGAGGGGGTTGGGAAAGCTTTGTGGTGGAGTACTCTACTTATACTATTCTGTTATTTTTGTGTAGTTACAGAAAAGATAGAGAATATGTATTTATTGTTTCACTGTAATATTGTTTCCCCTCCTTTTTTTTTGATATAGAGTCTTGTTCTGTCTCCCAGGCTGGAGTACAGTGGCATGATCTCAGCTCACTGCAACCTCCACCTCCTGGGTTCGAGTGATTCTCCTGCCTCAGCCTCTTGAGTAGCTGGGATTACAGGCGCCTACCACCACACCCGGCTGATTTTTGTATTTTTAGTAGACACGGGGTTTCACCATGTTGGCCAGGCTGGTCTTGAACTCCTGACCTCAGGTGATTCCCCCTACCTTGGCCTCCCAAAGTGCTGGGATTACACACATGAGCCACCACGCCCAGCCATCCTTTCCTTATATAATGTAGCTATATCAGTTTAAAAGTGAGAAACATTTTTGAACATAGATTCCCCACTAAAGATAGCAGTTGCTATTGACGTTGCCATTTGGAAGATTCTCTGGCTCCTGGTCTTCAGCTGCATATATCATGAGAGCTTTCACAGGCAGCTCTCATGCGAAGCGGATGGGCCTTAAACACAGTTCTCTTCCTGTGTCTGTGTATCATATCCAAATTTTAAACTTAAGGATAAAGGATATTTTCACAGTTATTACCTTAGATTTATAAATCAAAGGAAGAAACCTAGCATATCTACATTATGTTCTTATTTTATTCTAATTTATAGTATATCCTTGTTGTCCTTCAGTAGATCTGTTTATATATATGTGCTGGACCTATATATATATATATATATAGTTTCTTTGGGGCTACATGAATACTTTTCCTCATTTTCTTATAATGAAATTGTTAGTTTGCTTCAAGCAAGAAAGTGGAACTGTATACTGCTTTCATAGCCAGGCATTTGCATTTGCAGGTTTATAAAAGTGCCAGCAAGCGCAAAGCCCACATTCTGAAGAACCACCCAGGAGCAGAGTTGCCACCGAGCATTCGGAAACTCCGGCCCGCCGGTCCTGGAGAGCCAGACCCCATGCTGAGCACACACACCCAGCTGACAGGCACCATCGCCACCCCTCCCGTCTGCTGTCCCCACTGCTCCAAGCAGTACAGTAGCAAGGTAGGGAGAGTTTCTGACTAAAGCTGAGGTCAAAACTGCCCTGTAAGGAATCTCTTAAGGGAAGATGGCTTCTAATCCACATGGCCTGGATGGCTCCTTCTGAGTTGACAGGGCACTGAAAGAGACGTTGTCCTAGTCCCTGTAAACAGGGACCACAGCAGAGAATGGAAAGAATATTGCGGGACCTCCCCCAGAATGAGTGCGAACAGCAGCCCGAGCAGCCGGCTGCCTTCCTTTTCCCTTGGCCTGCAGAGGGCCTCATATTTGAATATTCTGTGCTTGTGTTTGGTGAGTTTAGGCTTATGGAAGCACCATGTAGAAAGTTAAGTGATGGTTTCAGAAAGGAGGTCATTTTGGCTGGGGGCATTGTGATTGATTGCTGCAGGTACTAGTTACGGGGGTGTTCGGGTATTCGGACCTTGCTCATGGTGTGGGGTCAAGTGAGGTTTTGCTCCTGCCCCACCCTCTTTCCTGCTCTTATAGCATTATGTTACCCCAGGAAGGACAGGCACAGAGTCAGTGTTGCTCTGATTTTTCTTTTTTTGAGATATAAGATAACAGACTTTAGGAATGTTTGGAGGATTTACATATGAGTAAAATGGAAAAATCACAAATTCTAATAATTATTCTTTTTTCTTGCCTTCCTTTTTCAGACCAAAATGGTCCAGCACATTCGAAAGAAGCATCCAGAGTTCGCCCAGCTCTCCAACACCATACACACACCACTGACGACAGCTGTGATCAGTGCCACCCCAGCAGTTTTAACTACAGACAGCGCCACTGGAGAGACTGTGGTGACGACGGACCTGCTCACCCAAGCAATGACAGAACTGTCCCAGACCTTAACGACAGACTACCGAACACCGCAGGGGGATTACCAGAGAATTCAGTACATCCCTGTGTCGCAGTCGGCATCTGGCCTCCAGCAGCCTCAGCACATACAGCTTCAAGTGGTGCAGGTGGCCCCGGTACTACATGCCTCCATTTCCCTTTGCCTTATGAATGCCGTATTGCCACCAGTACTTCGTTCTCAGAGCTGGGGCTGGCTGGGATCTATGTAATGTTCTTCTGCATGGAAGTTCTGAGCCTTGGGCATTTGTAAAATGCCCCGTCCCCTTTCAGGCTAATGAGGCCTCTGGCTTTAGCGGTGTAGCAGATTTCTGTCTATAGTAGTCAGGAGATTTTAGGCTCCAGCATGTATAAGCCTCCTGTGCTGTGGCAGGACAGTAGCCACAGCACCTGTTTCTGAGCCTCTTCTGAATCCTTATCTTTTACCATCCTGGTTGGCTGCTTGGTAATGAGCCAGCTTGATAAATCGTGACCTGCGTATCAAATGTCTTATATCAAAGAGAGGTTGTAAAGAACAATATTGATGGCGGGGCACAGTGGCTCATGCCTGTAATTCCAGCACTTTGGGAGGCCGAGGTAGGCAGATCTCTTGAGGTCAGGAGTTCAAGACCAGCCTGGCCAACATGACAAAAACCCGTCTGTACTGAAAATACAAAAATTAGCTGGGTGTGGTGGCAGGTGCTTGTAATCCCAGCTACTCAGGAGGCTGGGGCAGGAGAATTGCTTGAACTTGGGAGGCAGAAGTTGCAGTAAGCCGAGATCACACCATTGCACTCCAGCCCAGGCAACAGAGTGAAACTTTGTGTCAAAAAAAAAAAAAAGAATGTTGATTCAATCTCTGAGTATCAGTCAGTGCCTTCTTAGTAAAGAGGTAAAACTGTGTACCTTCTACCAGATAATGAGGAACTCATTCTTATTGACTAAAGAGCTAAATGAAAGAATTCTCCCAGAACTATTGTTTCATGTAATTACACTGAGGAGAAGTGTCCCCAAGGCACAAATGAACAAACTTGTTGCTTTGAAATCACTGGTCTCTCAAAATTTAAAACTAACATGGGAACAGGACATTGGAAGTTACCACTGTCATTGACTATTCTTTGTCTTGTTTTTCTTGTGGAGGGTTTTTAACTTTAGGCTTTGGAGGAACTTAGGAGTCCCTCAAGCTGCCTGTAAAGTATGATGTATAGGTACATTGTTCTAGAAAAAGGGCCTGTACTTTAGCCACTGTTTCAAAGATGTTCTTGGTACATAAAAGGTTAAGGACCACTGTTCTGGTGGGTTAATAGAGACAAACTAAAAGCAAATTCTCTTCTTTGATCTCTTTTAATTGATAAAGATTAGATCATTAAATGCAACTGAAATTTTTGATTCCTGACAACTTCTTTTTCAGCTTATTGTCAGAACTGTCTTCCCTCTGTCCTTCTCTTCCAGCATCTAATAACATTAGCGGCTTATGTGTTAGAAGCAGAGTTCTTTAAACGATCTTTTTCTATCCTGTTGTCTGGCTTGGCCTAGGTATGGCCTATCCGGGAGTGCAGCACTGGAACTGAAATTCCTTCCATTCTTCTATTTCTGTTGGCATATATTGGGATATTGGTTTTGCTTTTTTTTTTTTTTTTTGAAACAGGGTCTCACTCTGAAGTGCAGTGGCACAATCATGGTTTACTGCAACCTCAACCTCCCAAACTCAGATATTCCTCCCACCTCTGCCTCATCAGTAGCTGGGACTATAGGCATGCCATCATGACTGGCTAATGTTTTTTTGAGATGGAGTCTCTCTGTTGCCCACGCTGGAGTGCAGTGGCACGATTTCAGCTCACTGCAACCTCTGCCTCCCATGTTCACGTGATTCTTCTGCCTCAGCCTCCCAAATAGCTGGGATTACAGGCATCCACCACCATACCCAGCTAATTTTTTTAATTTTAGTGGAGACAGGTTTCACTATGATGGTCAGGCTGGTCGCGAACTCCTGACCTCAAGTGATCCCTCCGTCTCAGCCTCCCAAAGTGCTGGGATTATAGACGTGAGTCACTGTGCCTGGCTAGCTGGCTAATTTTTGTGTTTTTTTGTAGAGACAGGGTTTTGCCATGTTGCCCAGGCTGGTCTCGAACTCATGGGCTCAAACAATCCATCTGCCTTGGCCTCCCAAAGTGCTGGGATTATAAGCCATGAGCCACTGCCCCCAGCCAGGATATTGTTTTTTAACTGAACCTTTTCTCCAGAAGGATTTCCCTTAACCTCAATCAATATAAATCTGGTTTCTGGGCCTGCTTTTTCTCCTTCCAGGCCACCTCCCCTCACCAGTCACAGCAGTCCACTGTGGATGTCGGCCAGCTCCACGATCCTCAGCCCTACCCCCAGCATGCCATCCAGGTGCAGCACATCCAGGTCAGCGAGCCCACCGCCTCGGCCCCGTCCTCGGCCCAGGTACCCTGTTCCACAGACTATTTGGAGGCATTCGCATGGCCTCAGGGACTATTGGAGTTAATGAGAGGGAAGACTTCCTCTTTAGACCTCGGCTACTGAGATACTGTTGTTTCTGGATTTTTTATTAAAGGATCTTACCTTTGCCTCCAATTTTTATATTGGTATCGTGGACACACATTAAGCTATTGGCTGCTTCTGCCCACATGGAGCCCTGTGATATGACATCCTAGAAACAACAGTCGCCTTTGCTTTCCATTCTAAATGCAATGATTTGGAATAGTGGCTTTGTGGAGTATTATAGCATATTGTATGCTACTGTGTTTGTGTGCTTGAGTCTGATATTAGATACATAGATAAGTTCTCAGAGTTCAGAAAGGGAGAGATTAGATTTTGGAGATAATCCAGGGCATTTTTGTAGAAGAAGCTGTCTTTGAAAGAGGTTTTGAAGGAGGGGTACAGTTCTGACATAATAGTTGGGAAAGGCATTCTGATCTGGATAAGCTCATGCTGTGATGGAAAACGTACATTAATGTGGTATAAATGTGGTACATTTATAGAAAAGAGTTATTCTGTTTAGACTACTAACAGGAAATGGTGTTTGGGAAGGAAGCTGGGCAGGTAGTTTGGAGCAGGATTGCAGTGTGGCAGCTGGAGAGCGCTGGCCTCATCCTGTTGTCAGGAGTTCACTGACCTGTGCGAAACTCCACGAGCCAGGTGGGATTAGCCAGTGCTGGTTAATGGAAGTGATGAACTCTGGGTTCTGCTTCATTTTGTGTTCCAGATTAGCTTTGTGACACAGGCAAGTTATTTCACCTCCCATTATTTTTAACCTTATATAGTGTAGGTAATTATATTTTCTTTCATTTATCTTTGTAACAAGTTGATTGAAATTAATTTTTTGCATACTCTGGTAGAGAATCCTTTGAAAACAAATTAGAATTTCATCGTCGTGCTTGCTTTTCTTGATTTTATTCTTATTTAAAATATTACTTTCAATAATAGCAATGATAGTTTCCGTATTATAATTCATATTGGTCCGATTTACTTTATTCAGTTATTTGTAAGTCTTCAGTATATTAGAAGTTCATAATTCCCTACCATTGCTTTCTGTTTCTCCCCAGGTATCTGCGCAGCCATTGAGTCCCTCAGCCCAACAGGCTCAGCAGGGACTCAGCCCCTCCCACATCCAGGGCAGTTCTTCCACGCAGGGCCAGGCTCTGCAGCAGCAGCAGCAGCAGCAGCAGAATTCCTCTGTGCAGCACACGTACCTGCCCAGCACTTGGAATTCCTTCCGTGGCTATTGTAAGTAAGATAGGACAATGACGTGTAGGTCAGAGCCGGGGGATCTCCAGCCATGTGTCATAATTTCTTCAGCTTTATGATAAAATTTTAAAGTACCTATTGGCCATTTTGTACACTCTGTAGTCCATGTACTTCAGTGAGTTTCATGACAAAACTCAAGGTCTAGCATTCTGATTCAGGGAGCTACCCTGATAGGACATTTTTGAAACATCAGGTATATTGCTGGAGGAAATGCAGCTGTGTAATTTAGATAGTAAGGTAAATGGAGATACACTATGTTGACGGTGCTGATTCATCCTTTCCACCAATATGTGTAGAATGCCTGTATATCAATCACTGCTCTAGGCCCTGGCTATACCAAGATTAATGTTCTCATTTATATCAGTATCACCACACAATAATAATGTTAACCAACTTTCATTAAGCTCTTACTATATTGCCCGGAATGATTCTGAACCATATATAACACAGTCAGTATTCACAACAACCTATGAGGTAAGTGCAATTGTTATTTGCATTTTACAGATAAGACAGTTTCCACACGCTCACTTTTCCCAAGAGCTAGTAAACAGAGGTTTGGAACCCCGGCAGCCTGGCTTCAGAGTGTAGACTCTAAACCACCCCACTGGGCTGCTGCTGCTCCAAAGAAAATAGTCTTTGGCTCAAAGAGACCATCATCTAGTAAGGGAGAGAGAGAGAGATGAGTAGTTGATTCCAAAACCCTGAGCTTCATCTATGGAAACAGTAACAGGCTGACTGACAGAGGTCAGAGAAGATAAACACCTTGATGGGGAAACAGCTTTGAGTGTAGGTCAGGAAGCATGAGACCTTTATCATGGAAGATGCAGAAGGAACAGGAGTAGAGGAAACAGACCTCAGTAGTTGCAAGTAGGAGGAGTAGGTGCTGAGTAGCTGAGATTACAGATGCCCACCACCACGGCTGGCTAATTTTTTTGTATTTTTTAATAGAGATGAGGTTTCACCATGTTGGCCAGGCTGGTCTCAAAATCCTGACCTCAAGTGATCCACCTGCCTCAGCCTCCCAAAGTGCTGAGAGGGAAAAAGGTCTTCTGTTGATTTCTTTTTGGGGGGGGGGCCCGTCTTTGTCATGATTGAGCCTTGGCTATGTTACACAGATTCGCTACGGAGTCAGGCTTAAACTCTACCGTCTAGTTATTTTTACAATCTACTTTTTTTTTTTTGAGACAGAGTCTTACTTTGTTGCCCAGGCTGGAGTACAATGGTGCAATCTCGGCTCCTTGCAACGTCTACCTCCCGGGTTCAAGCAGTTCTCCTGCCCCAGCCTCCTGAGTAGCTGGGATTACAGGTGCACGCTACCACACCTGGCTAATATTTGTATTTTTAGTAGAGACAGGGTTTCACTGCGTTGGCTAGGCTGGTCTCGAACTCCTGACCTCAGGTGTTCCACGCACTTCAGCCTCCGAAAGTGCTGAGATTACAGGCGTGAGCCACCAAGCCTGGCCGTAATCTATACTCTTAAACAAATTAGGGGTCACAACGAGGGCTGGGTCTAGTTTCCAGTCGGGGAAGGACTGTCTTACCTGTAGAATCTGGTGAACAGACTGACCTCTGTACTCAGTGTAATTCCTATGACGGACAGTGGAGTGGGCTGGGCATGGTGGTTCATGCCTGTAATCCCAGCACTTTGGGAGGCTGAGGCAGGTGGATCACTTGAGGTCAGGGTTTTGAGACCAGCCTGGCCAACATGGTGAAACCTCATCTCTATTAAAAAATACAAAAAAATTAGCCAGCCGTGGTGGTGGGCATCTGTAATCTCAGCTACTCAGAAGGCTGAGACAGGAGAATTGCTTGAACCTGGGAGGTGAAGATCATGCCACTACACTCCAGCCTGGGCAACAGAGCAAGACTCCATCTCAAAAAAGAAAAAAAGGAAAAAGTGGAATGATGAAGATACTCATGGTAATAATAGGAGGAGTTAGCATTCTAATCTGTAGAAAGATTCTGGAACTGAAATTTGTTAGGAAAAAATATAAAAACATAAAAGTAGAGAGAGAAGTGTAATGAGCCATCCTATGCCCATTGACCAGCCTCAGCAGTTACCAACTTACACCCAGCCTTGTCATATATATGCGCCTATCATTATCTCCCATCTTCCAGCTGAATAATGCTTCATCGTATCACCTCATCCATAAATATTTTGGTATATATCTCTAAAAGAAAAAGACTATTCGAGACAGGGTTTTGCTCTCTTGTTCAGGCTGGAGAATGCAGTGGCATGATCATGGCTCACTGCAGATTTGACCTGGGCTCAAGGGATCCACCCACCTTAGACTCCCCAAGTGCTGGTGTGGGCCACCACATGTGATCTAATTTATAAAATTTTTTGTAGAGCCAGGGTCTCACTATATTGGCTAAGTTGGTCTTAAACTCCTGGGCTCAAGTGATTGTCCTGCCTTGGCTTCCCAAAGTGCTGGGATTATAGGCATGAGTCCCTGTGCCTGGTCATGATTCTAGCATCCTTATTCATTAGCTAGAAAACTTTTATAAATAAAAAATTTTGCCTTAACTACCAAGTAACTCACAGGTACACTCTGTACAAGAAAGGCAGGACAAATGCTTTAAATACCTGATTCATTTCCTTTGTTTACCAAATATCCTTTGTGGATATTGAGATGCCACATTTGAAGGGGAATGTACTGACTGTCTCTGACACCGGGTAGCTGCATACCAGCCTCTTCTCAATTAGCAGAGATGCTTTCACTGTACCAAGAAATCACATCATTGTAAGACTCTCATGGCAAGCAAATCAGTGGGGACTGTGGCTACTGGTTCTGTTTTTGTTTCTAAAACTTGTGTTAAAATCTGAGACCATTGAACTGTGATTATTTCCTGTTTTTTAGCATCTGAGATTCAAATGATGACGCTTCCCCCAGGTCAGTTCGTGATTACAGACAGTGGTGTGGCAACCCCAGTTACTACTGGCCAGGTGAAGGCGGTTACTCCGGTAAGCTACACTACTCGGTGGGGTTTTTCCTGTCCAACCTGTGGTGCTATACAATAACTCTGACCACCACTTAACGTTTTAATGATTGGCTTTCTCTGTTTTCTCACAGTAGATGATGAATTCTTTGAAAGCTGGGTCTTGGGCTGTATCACTTTATCCTCAGTGCCCTATTCAGGAGGCTAGGATATAGCAAATGCTCAATAAGTATCTGTTCAATTAATAACTGTAATGGTCCTAGCTCCATCCCTATGAGTGCTTTTTTTTTTTGAGAAAGAGTCCTCTGTTGCCAGGCTGGAATACAGTGGCACAATCCCAGCTCACTACAACCTCCACCTCCTGGGTTCAAGCAATTCTTGTGCCTCAGCCTCCCAACTATCTGGGATTACAGGCAGGCGCCACCATACCTGGCTAATTTTTGTATTTTTAGTAGAGACGGGTTCTCACTATATTGGCCAGGCTGGTCTTAGAATCTCTACCTCACGTGATCCACCCACCTCTGCCTCCCAAAGTGCTGGGATTACAGTCGTGAGCCACTGCACCTGGCCCTTACGGGTGCTTTTATATGCTTCATGGAAAGATTGAGTCCTCAAGACAATTGGCCCACAATTGGGTTGGGAGAGAATAATATAATGAACCAATTATGGCTGTATTAAACATTTCACCCACCTGAAGGTGAAAAATATTGCTGTAAATTATCTAAGTTGGGCAGGTATGATGTTGATTGTCTCTCCTTCTTCTGTTTTTACCTTCTCTGGTTTGTTCTGGCCTGCCTCTCAGTTATTAGAAGACAGAGTACATACATATGAATTTAGAAAAATACTCTTGGCTAGGCACAATGGCTCACGCCTATAATTCCGACACTTTGGGAAGCCAAGGCAGGCAGATCACTTGAGGTCAGGAGTTCAAGACCAGCCTGGCCAACATGGTGAAACTGTGTCTCTACTAAAAATACAAAAATTACCTGGGTGTGGTGGTGCACCCCTATAATCCCAGCTACTTGGGAGGCTGAGGCAAGAGAATCGCTTGAACCTGGGAGGTGGAGGTTGCGATGAGCAGAGATCGCACCACTGTGCTCTAGCTTGGGCAACAGAGTGAGACTCTGTCTCAGAAAAGACAAAAAAGGGCAAATACTCCTGGATGGATAAGTTCTGGAGACCTAGGTTACAGCATACTGGCTGTGATGGTACACTTGAAAACTGTTAACATAGTATAGATAATGTTTTTTGCCACCAAAAAAAAATGGTAAGTGCATGAGTCGATGGATATGTTAATCAGGTTGATTTGTTTAATTATACCTTAATAGAGCTAGGAGAGAGGAAAAGTGATCTTCAATGGCTAGGAATATTGAGATATTCCCAAGGGAAGACTTTCTTAGAGGTTTCAGAGGGTAGCTAGCTAGACTAGTGACCTCAAAAACCTGATTTTTTTCTTTTCTTTTCTTTTCCTTTTTTTTTAAGTACACCCAGAGCTCTCCTGTTTCTCAGCACACAAGGTCATATTAACTAGACTTAGGAGAGAGATATAAATCCATAGTAACGCTATTAATTGTCAGTGAAAACAAATGTAAAATGAAATAATTACATTGCCATGATCGGGGCATTTTTTTGCTCCCTGTCAGACCCATTGACTTTGACCTTTTTCTGGCCTGGAACTCATTTGAGAACGGTTGTAGCCAAGATTGTTTCTCTTTTCCTGTCACAGTGTACTTGCACACTAATTTAATGTACATTTTCAGGGGCTCATGTATTCTCTGCAGCCCATTTATGGACCCCCTAGGAGTCAGTGGACCCTAGGTTGAGAACTAGCCCCCTCCCCACATGGAAAAGCCAATCATAATCAGAAGTTGCTTGGTGGGGTGAACTCAGAACATCTGACCGTAGAGGAATCAAATGGGTATTTGGTGATGGCTCTTTTCTGGGAAGAGCAAAGACAGGCTACTGCCTGAGAGTCTTTCTGTGACGTCTCTTTTCCTCTGTTCTGTAGCTGACCAACCCTCCTTCTGACTGACAATTTCTTTAAAAACATTAATGTAACAAAATAGCCAGCTACAGGTCTATGAAGGTGTTTTCTTGATGAGGGGAAAAATAAGAAAACAAAGACAATGTGTAAGTTTTCATAATGCTAAATTTATTCAGTGTAAGGGATTTTATTCTGAGATACTGTTGTTTCTGTGCTTTTGAGTGTTAAAATGTCTATTTGATGGTAGCATATTTTATTTTTATTTTTATTTATTTTTTGAGACGGAGTTTCGCTCTTGTTACCCAGGCTGGAGTGCAATGGCACGATCTCGGCTCACCGCAACCTCTGCCTCCTGGGTTCAGGCAATTCTCCTGCCTCAGCCTCCTGAGTAGCTGGGATTACAGGCATGCGCCACCATGCCCAGCTGATTTTTTTGTAATTTTAGTACAGACGGGGTTTCACCATGTTGACCAGGATGGTCTCAATCTCTTGACCTCGTGATCCACCCGCCTCAGCCTCCCAAAGTGCTGGGATTACAGGCTTGAGCCACCGTGCCCGGCCTGATGGTAGCATATTTTAAATGACCTTACTTGACAAAATAAAATTTGGGGAACATTTATTATTTTTTAAGATTTTGCTGGTCTTTTGAAATTCCGAAGTCTGAGATCTTGACTACGTGTCTTCAAGGTCATTCAGCCTCTTCAGTGAGACTTTAAATATCTCTTCTTTGATCCGTTCTATGTTAATCTTGACATCAAGTGGACAGTTAACCATCTTTTCTGAATTTGTGAATTCTTAGGAGCATTACAACAGCACATTTTGTTTGCTTCTTACATGGCCACCATGATGCAAATTACTGTCCCTGAAGTTGTTCACTGTATCATTGGTTGAAACTGCTAAGGGGCTGCTTTAAGGCGCTTACCTTTGTAGTCAGTTATTGTGACTGATCTGCCCTCTCTAAAGCACTTAGGTAAAGCATCTCCTGTAGATGCCTATTTTGGGTCCCTTAGGACATTTCTTCACATTTCTCTTCTTCCCCAGTAGCTTCACCCTCCCTTTAAGGCCCCAGGTGTTTAAAGATCCTTTTCTTCCTCCTCTAGGGTCATTATGTGTTATCAGAAAGTCAACCAGAATTGGAAGAAAAGCAGACTTCTGCCCTTTCTGGCGGAGTCCAGGTCCAGCCAGCTGCACACAGTGACTCCTTGGACCCCCAGCCCACCAGCCAGCAGCAGACCACACAGTACATCATCACCACCACCACCAATGGGAACGGAAGCAGCGAAGTGCACATCACCAAACCGTGACTTCTGCCCTGGAGCTCGAATCCAGCACCCACCTCATGTCTGTTCGGACATGAGTTTCATAAGTCTGAAAGCTCTGACACTTAGAACTCTTTTGTAAGATTTATTATTCCCTCAAGAGTTTGGAAACAGCAGTTTCGTCTCTCATCCATACACTGGGGTTTATTTTGCCAAGGTCATCTTTATCAAACTCACTCTTCAAACCCTCAGTTTTTGCCACGGAATGGAGGTCTTTCAGGGAAAAGTAGATTACGAGATGGAGAGAATTGGACTTGCTCTTGAGTTGTTTTCTTAACACGCTGACAAGCCTTACTTTTCCTTTGTGGAAATACTAAGTGGCGTATTCATACCAAAGGTGGAGAAAGGATGTGCCAAGTCCGTGGTTACTGGACTTCTTATTCCAAGCTCTGGCACCGAAGGAGAAGGGGCATTTTGTGGGTGTGTATTAGGTCTGAACTGCTTTATCTTGTGAGTTTTAGTTTTCAGTCATTTCCAAAGGGAGCCTGTCGAATAAGCAAATAAAAATGATGAAACAAAAGTTGGACAGTGATGTTCTGAAGGAATAACTGTCATCCAAATTTTTCTTATTGCTGATTTTTTTTAACTTCCCTATTTTAGAAAACTACTGTTGGGCTGTTGGTAGTGCTTTCCACAGATGCTGGTCCTCAGTGAATTAGGTCAGAAGCTGACGTTCTGATAGTTCTTCATTATTTCACAAAGGTGGACTCCCTGAAAGAGAAAAGGCTGCTTGAAGTCAGCAGAATCTAAACCCCTACATTCTAGCTTTGCCTCCCATTCTCTGGTTGTGGTGGTGGTAAGAAAGAGATATTGGTACCAAGAAAAATGACCAAAACTATTGAGAGAGAGAGTATTGAAATTTTGTTCTGCCTTGCAGGATTCTTTTATCATTCATTGGTAAAGGATGCATTCCTGTTCTTACCAAGTGTACATTTAACTCTTGCTGACAGTGTTCAGTGTATTTTAGTACTTTTATGCTGTCTTAAAATGAACATTCTTTAAAGTTGGCTGGAAAGGTGGCATTTCTTATTTCTTAACACTTTTAACAGTAAACATATTGTGACTCATCTGGACTTTTTAATAAGATGATCAACTTCACACTTAGGGAAAAATTAAAATGTGGGAACCACTTACAATAATTAAGATAGTTAAAAGGGATCTGGAAGAAATCCAGTCTTTATGAATATACTGTTAGTTGGGCATTAAAAAAACCAGTATATATTTTAACAACTTTTTGTGACACAGTACACATTTCTAGAATAATTATTGCATGGTAGAATTTATTACTCCAGAACAGAAAGACCTTACTTCATTTCAAATGAAGTTCACTAATTAATTTACATTTCTGGATAAAAGCTGGTTTTTTTTGTTTTTTGTTTTTTGTTTTTTTTGAGACAGTGTTTCGCTCTTATTACCCAGGCTGGAGTACAATGGCGCTGGTCTCGGCTCACCGCAACCTCCGCCTCCTGGGTTCGGGCAATTCTCCTGCCTCAGCCTCCGGAGTAGCTGGAATTACAGGCACGCGCCACCACGCCCAGCTAATTTTTTGCACCTTTAGTAGAGACGGGGTTTCAGCATGTTGACCAGGATGGTCTCGATCTCTTGACCTCGTGATCCACCCGCCTTGGCCTCCCAAAGTGCTGGTATTACAGGCTTGAGCCACCGCACCCAGCCCAAAAACTGTTTTTTGATTATTTTTTGTTTTTTGTTTTTGAGATGGAGTCTCACTCTGTTACCCAGGCTGGAGTGCAGTGGTGCAATCTTGGCTTACTGCAACCTCTACCTCCTGGGTTCAAGTGATTCTCCTGCCTCAGCTTCCTGAGTAGCTGGAATTACAGGCACATGCCACCATGCCCAGCTAATTTTGTATTTATAGTAGAGACGGGGTTTCACCATGTTGGTCAGACTGGTCTCAAAGTCCTGACCTCATGATCCTCTCTCCTTGGCCTCCCAAAGTGCTGGGATTACAGGTGTGAGCCACCGCACCCTGCCTAAAACTGGTTCTATAAATTTAAGTAGAGTCGCTTCTTTATGATAAAGGCACGTTTCTGAAAAGTGAACAGTTCTGCTGAAAGAACCTTCTTAATATGTAGATTTTGCACTTTATTTCTGAGGCCCCTTTCATATCGTTTTCCCCAACGTTTGAGTACTAAGAGAACTTGGGAAAGTTACTTCATAAATATATGAAAACTGAAAATGGACTCTCTATCTTTGTGACAAAGATATTCAACAGAAAATATTGACCCTGGATTACAAAATACAGACTTGGATTCCCTAACTCCCACAGTGTAATGGTTACAAATATCCTAGCATCCAGTCTAGAAAGACTTTCTAGGGGAAGAATGGTAGAATTTTCTAAAGGTCCAGTTTTAGCTTTTATAACTTAAATTTGGCCCTGTTACGTTCTTTTTCATTTGAACCAGTAAGGTATCTCCCCTCCCCTCAGGAATAACTTACTGGAAAATTGAAAAGAGTCACTGAATGGAATGTTCATTTTATGGCAGTTATTTAAATTTTTTTATTTATTTTTATTTTTTTCTCCCCCCACCCTCCTCCTCTCAGCTATTTTAAGTTTTAAAATACACAGAGGAAAATATTGTGGAAGGACTTCTTTGTCTCCCTTCTAAGTTCTCTTCTTCTTCTTCTTTGGTCCTTATGTGAAATAAAGACTTTAAAACCAATTTTTATATTATCAGCCAGAGATGCGGATGGCAGTCGAGCCAAGTCGTGCGGCTTTCAGATCAGGTGTTCTGCACATTCATTCCAAGGTCATAGATTTCTAAAAGGACCTGGATTTGAAGAGATGGCAAATGATGAGCCATCCGAAGACTCAATGTGGAAAACATGTATGTAGCCAGTGTGGATATTGTGGCCTCTCTCAAGACACATTGACACTGTAGACTTCATTCAGTGCAGTGTGAGTATTATGGAGTAGGTTGGATGTAGATTTTGTTTTTATTATTGATTTGTACTGACAGAAATAGACATTTCATCATGTGAAATTCCTGTTATCCTGGAAAAAAAACAAACAAACTTGTTTTGATCTTCTTGTTTTCTGACTTGGAAGTAGCCTTTCAAAAAGCTCTTAAGATATCTAGGTCTAAAAAGCACTTCATGAGATGCTAAAGCTAACCCACTGGTTGAAAATGTTGACCCTATCCTGTTATTTAAATGTGAACATTTATTGTACATTCAGTGAGTTATAGTGTTAATAGTCTTGTGCTATGCAGCAGGTGTAAAAATAAATATTTTTTTTAATAAACAAAATATTTGTTTGTTTGTATGTGTGACGCTACAAGAGTCATTTTTTCTTTTAAGAATTGCAACTTCTTGCCGGGCGCGGTGGCTCAAGCCTGTAATCCCAGCACTTTGGGAGGCTGAGGCGGGTGGATCACGAGGTCAAGAGATCGAGACCATCCTGGTCAACATGGTGAAACCCCGTCGCTACTAAAAAATACAAAAAATTAGCTGGGCATGGTGGCATGTGCCTGTAATCCCAGCTCCTCAGGAGGCTGAGGCAGGAGAATTGCCTGAACCCAGGAGGCGGAGGTTGCGGTGAGCCGAGATCGCGCCATTGCACTCCAGCCTGGGTAACAAGAACGAAACTCTGTCTCAGAAAAAAAAAAAAAAAGAATTGCAACTTCTGGCCGGGTGTGGTGGCTCACACCTGTAATTCCAGCTCTTTGGGAAGCTGAGGCTGGTGGATCACTTGAGGTCAGGAGTTTGAGACCAGCCTGGCCAACATGGTAAAACCCTGTCTCTACTAAAAATACAAAAATTAGCCCAGCGTGGTGGTGGGCACCTGTAATCTCAGCTACTTGGGAGACTGAGGCAGGAGAATTGATTGAACCTGGGAGGCAGAGGTTGCAGCAAGCTGAGATTGCATCATTGCACTCCAGCCTGGGCGACAGAGCAAGACTCAATCTGAAAAAAAAAAAAAAAAAAAAAAAAAGAATTGCAACTTCTGATTGCCAGTGTGGCATGCAGGAAGCTTGGAAGTGGTCTCTCCATCTTAGCAATAAGTAAGAAGCTAAGCAAATGTAGAGATTGACATTTCTTCTTAGATCTTTCAGAAAGGTGAGCTTACAGGACAAACTGCTATTCCCCAAATTGGAAAGACAAACAGGCAAATACAGAGAATCACAGCTTATAGAACAGAAATCTGTGAGAAAAAAAAAAAACAACAACAACAACCCATGAGCAATAACCTCTGAGAACCAACGCCAGGGTAGGAAAACGAACTATATTTGATGAATTGCTACAGCCTCAGTGTGGACAAATCTGAGAGGTTAAAAACTCTAGGGGACTCAGTCACCGAACGGGGATCAAGGGAGACCCAACAATTTTGTGAGTTTTATCCCCAGGAGCTTGAGTAGGTTCTTGCAGTGAAATCTGGAGAAAAATCTCCTCATGTTTCCAGCAGAGAAAGGGGAGAAGGAACCGTTTTGAAATACTTCTGATCTTTCTATTATAACAAGAACCTAAACTGCTGAAGTTATAGCAGAACCTCACTCAGCTGGAGGAAGAGAAATCCGCAGCTCCAGCCCATTCTTGCCATCATCCCTCATCTAAGAGGGATAGCTGAGCAGCACTTACGAAGTTCACAGTCCAGAGGCACAGGCTCACCAGGAGACTGAGACCTCCTGCAGGAATGCAGAAAGCTTCCCCTGCCCCAATACCCTACCATCGCATTGTTAAAGGTCTACTTAACAGAAATTCTCTCTACCTGGCACATCATGACCAGCTACCAAGAAAAGCACTATAAGGCATACTAAGAGGCAAAAGACACAAATTTGAAGAACGAGAGCAAATATCAGACCCAGATTTAGATATGGCTGAGATGTTGGAATTTGCAGACTGGGAATTTAAAACAACTGTGATCAATATGAAACGGGCTCTATTAGAGAAAGTAGCTAACAAGCAATAACAAACAAACAATGTAAGGAGAGAGATGGAAACCCTAAGAATGCACTAAAATGCTAGAGATCAAAAATGAAGAGTAGGCTGGGCATGGCGGCTTGCACCTGTAATCCCAGCACTTTGGGAGGTCGAGGTGGGTGGATAATTTGAGGCCAGGAGTTCAAGACCAGCCTGCCCAACATGGTGAAACCCATCTCTATTAAAAATGCAAAAGCCAGGCATGGTGGCAGGCCGCTGTAATCCCAGCTACTCAGGTGTCTTGAACCCAGGAGGTAGAGGTTGCAGTGAGCCAAGATTGCGAATTGCACCACTGCACTTCAGTCTGGGAGACAAAGCAAGACTACATCTCAAAAAACAAACAAACAAACAAACAAAAAAAAAAACAAAACAAAACAAAAGTAAAAACAAAAAACAGTACCACTGAGAAGCTAAATAGTAGACTAGACACATCTTAGAAAAGAATCACTGAGCTTGAGGATGTCTCAATAGAAACCTCTAAAACTGAAAAACAAAACAGAATATCCAAAAACTGAGATGATGAAAAAAAGGTATTACTATGCCTCATGGGAATACTAGAAGAAGACAGAGGAAGGAACAAAAGAAATATTTGAAGCAATAATGATTGATAATTCCCCCAAATCAATATGGAACATGAAACCACAGATCCAGAAAGCTCAAAGGACACACGGGATAAATGCAGAAAATCCTTCAAAACCAAGAAACAAATGAACAAAAAGTAATGTTTCTCTTTCTTTCTTTCTTTTCTTTCTTTTCTTTTTTTTCTTTCTTTTTCTTTTTTAAGAGACAGGGTCTGGATATGTTGCCCAGGCTGGAGTGGAGAGGCTAGTCACAGGCGCGATCCCACTAATCAGCACGGAAGTTTTGACCTGCTCCGTTTCCGACCTGGGCCAGTTCACCCCTCCTTAGGCAACCTGGTGATCCCCGGCTCCCGGGAGGCCACCGTATTGATGCAGAACTTAGTGCAGACACCCTATCGGCATAGCACACTACAGCCCAGAACTCCTGGGTTCAAGCGATCCTCCCACCTCAGCCTCCCGAGTAGCTGGGACTACAGGCACGTGCAACCGCGTCCGACGTGATGTTTCTTGAGAAACTGTGCAAACCAGGAGAGTGGAATGAAATATTTAAATGTTGAGAGAAAAAAAGCCATTACTAACCTAGAATGCCGTGCTCCATAAAATTATCCTCCAAAAGTGAAGGGGAAATTAGGACGTTCTCAACAAACAAAAATCGAGGAAATTTGTTGCCAGTAGACGTGCCTTGGAAAGAATGTTAAGAGAAGTTTTTCAGAGGGAAGGAAAATGATAAAAGTCAGAACCTCAGATCTACATAAAGAATGAGCATTGGCCAGGCGCGGTGGCTCATGCCTGTAATCCCAGCACTTTGGGAGGCCGAGGTGGGCGGATCATGAGGTCAGGAGATCGAGACCATCCTGG